ATCTGGGTGCAAGGTTTGCCAGAGTGGAAACCCTGAACCCCCCTCCTCAACCCAAAACCATGGGAAGCAGGACCGGTTCGAGTTGAAAGGTCCGTGAACCAAGTGGGGGCCTCCAGCAAACTTGGGATACCGGTGCCTCTGGGCACTCAAGTATTCTGGTCATTTAAGAAACTTTCTCCAAATTGAAGCACAAGTCATCCTTACAGGGCTGGTGTCCACTGTGACGCATACCGACTTCTTTCTTGCGTCCAAGCAGCATGCATGTTCGAAATGTCTCGTAGACCATACCCTTCGAAGCTTCAGCAGCTGAAAGACCATATCGGCCTTGGGTGACGACAGTTGTCACAGGATGGCCTCCTAGTAGCTCCGCATCTGCATGTGACGTGCATGTTTTAGTCTTTGCCTTCCCAGAATGGGTGGCCGTAACAGCAACAAGAACAGTCAGGATCTCGATCTGCCAAGCATCTGGAAATGCTGATCTGCAGAGAGATTTGCTCGCCGTAGGCTTCCCGCACTTTGCCTGTGCGAGTGCTGGTAGTGGAAGCTCGGAAGTACTGTAGCAAGTGCTTGCCAAGCTGCTGAGTGGGATCTTCTTGTATGCCTTGGACCCTCCAGCCTGCAAAGCCACAGCACTGGCAACACGCAGTAGGGCCCCATCCAACAACTGTCGCAAATATATTGTGCAAATATTCGATCAGAATGTCATATAACGCCTTGTCCACCTTCTGCAAGATTTCCAGGAGGTTTTCAAAGCTCCGCTGACTGCAAAGCATGGCGCCAGATCTGGCCTGCGGACAAAAGTCCATAACTTCCCAGAAGGCTGCAAAGCGTGAAAGCAACCACTAGGTAAGTGCATCCAGCCACACGCCCGGAGATGCTAGCACAGATGCTCTTAACTAGGCATTACCACAGTTCCCTCAAGAATGTCGGACAGGTCCGAGGTACTGAAAACGGACTCACTTCAAATGCGAAGCTGCACGCTGTGCCGCAACTTGCCAGTGGGCTTCGGTGCTGGGTGGGATGCTGCCCACATGAGATTCATTACGACTTCCTTGCCCGTGTTCATAAGCTTTAGAGTGATGTACGGGGGGTTAACCCCAAGAGGCTATATTAAGAATCTTACCCGGCTACGAAGACTACAGGTGGCGACCGGTCAGGCGCTCTACAGGTCCGACAGCCACGTGCCAAGATGCCACTTGGCTCAAACATGCGCTGCCTCTGGCGCTGCATGCGGCGCCCTGAACCCAAAACTTTAGTTTTAAGCGTTACTGTCGGCCCTGCTCCGAGCGCCACCAGCATGTAACATTTAGGAGGCCAGTGCTCCGTTGCGCTCTCTCTGTGGAAATGTGCAGGCAAGCTCTGTAGCACCGTAGCACCGACCTGCATGACATTCCATCAACTGCGTCAACGGTTCTCATGCTTCCGACCCCCAGATCCAAAAGCGTGTATGACTTGGGATGTTCCCCCTTATGCTAACAGTCCTTAACAAGGATTTTCGTACCCCCTATTACTAGAATCCCTACTAAGGAGTTTTAGTATAAAGGGGGAACATCCCAACACATACACCTGCAGACCCTGGTTCTCAAGCCACTCTTCACACAAAGTTGCAAAGAGCTCTCCCGCCTTAACCCTGGCAACCACATCGAACACCTGCCCAGGTGGTCACTTCTCTAACAAAGGCGGATCTGTTTTGGGCCCACCTCTAAGATGTGGTGATCGAAGCCCGCAATACCCCGTGGGGTTAGGGGTCATGTTTTGCAATGCTGGGCAGCCGGAACCTTTCCGATCCCACTCCAAGGTACAAGCGCACCCCTAGCAACCCCCCCTGGTCCCCAGAATCTCAATCACCCGAATGCACCTGCTGCACAGGCATCTCGCCATCCTGTCCAGGATCATGCTAGGCTCTTATTTCCAGGCTGATCCTGTGTTCCCGCAACAGAGGGGAGGAGGCCCAAACTTAACAAGAGCCTAGGACTTCACATCTTGATGCTGCCCACCTCTGCCCCGGTATCGGCAGAAGGTTCCGTGACCTCCCGGCTGCACAACCCTAAACTCTAAACCCTAAACCCTACACCCTAGTGGCATCCATCTTGCAAATCGTCGACGGCTGTGCTATCTTGCTCGGAGCCGCTGGACAACCTTTTTCACGTACTCTCTAAACCCTAAACCCCTAAGCCCTAAGCCCTAAACCCTAAGCCCTAAACCCTAAACCCTGAAACCTCAACCTTCGAAGCGGCTGCTGGATGCAGAGCCTCCAATTCCTCCCCCGATCCACTCTTGGTGGACGCCTGCAGAGGGGGATGCCGCAGCCGCTTTGCAAAGGGCTGCTGCTGGTCCCAGTATACAAGTACATATATATACATATGTAGAACTAATCAACGGTGTATATATATACATATATACATACATATATTTATGTATATATCTGTATGGTCACGTCACCCCCCCCCCTCCCAAAGACTTACCTCCCATGTCTTCAGATACATCGCTACCTGGAGAAGTATGCGCACTTTCGACTACACAAACATCTTCTATTTCACGGCCTCACTTGGCTAACCGGACTCCGGTGTGCGATAATACGAGACTTCAACGTCACTTAAATGGTCTTTACTACACGTTCGGCTCTTGCATGTGCTACAAGTTCAGTTTTGAACGATTTTTAAAGGCTTCACCTCAATGATTTCATAAAGTGCTCATAACTGGTCGCTGTCGTATGTGTCGAGAGAAAAACTGTTGTGCACACACACACACGTACACGCACCGTTGCTTCCGGTATATAGATAGCACTGCACCCAATACATGATACAGACATATACAGACGGCAACTCCCCCGCCATATCATCATCTTGCTTGTAGTTTCTGTTTGCTCATTTTGCATTCATTTCAGGCACATCTCGTGTGACTGGAGTCACATCTCATGTGAGAGTGTGAATGAATCGAAGAAAGAGCATTTAAGATACATCTCATTGAAAGCGCCTAGGCCTAGTGGAAGGTGGAAATCAATTTTCTTTCGTAATTAGGGGCTACTCAGATTATTGAAATAAATATCAAATGGCTTGCAGGTTCAAGATCTTTCATTCGTTCCATTCATGGGGATTAGCAGACTGTACTCTTTACACAATTGGTTGCAAGCAAGGTTCTGTAGGAGCACTCTGTTGTATGAGGGGGTTGGCTAACATAGCAAGTGCCTTATAGTTGAAACTACTTTCATTTAGTGCGTGAACAGGTTCAAAAGGGTTATGCGCTTTCGAAATATTTTGTTGGAGACATGATTGAGGGGTTCAAGGAGGAACTCCTGGAAGGGACCCTTCATCTTATTCCCTTGTACGGGCCCCTCCTCAGTCCCCTCACATGAGAACCGTGCGGACGGCATTCTCTCGACAAGCAAGGTATTCAACAAGATTCTCTGCGACAGATCCCCTATGCAAGGACATCAATGCGCAGCTCGCCTGCCTTGCTCCCCCAAACCCCAAGCCCCAAGCCCCAAGCCCCAAGCCCCAAACCCTAAAGCCTAAACCCCTTGCCTTGCTCCCACTCCATAACCTCAGGATGTACATCAACCGGCGGATGCCTTGGGGGAGCACTTGAAGGTTCATCATAGCGGGGTCTTTAATCGTAGGGGCACCTCCAGAGTTTAGCGGGAGTTGTAAACTCATTTCTACATCTTTCTATATATACCTATATTATATGCATACATATATATGTATATGTATATATATATATGTATGTGCATACATATGTATGTATGTATGTATTTTGCGGTGGGAGGGTGGGGGGGGGGTAACCTTAGCTATCCATGCACCTGGTTTTGGTGCCTACCTGGTGCCTCGCTCTTTGTTGCTACAAACCCTAAACCCTAAACCCTAAACCCTAAAGTTGCTACTGACGCTGGCAGCGACTCCTTTAGGTTTTCGCATGGCGTGAGTTGGGCTGCAACAAAAACCCTGGGTCCAGAGGCCCCAGTGCCTCTCAGCCTCGTCTGGCTCCTTCTTTCCCACGATTCAAAAGCACCTTTTGGCTTCTTTCAGAATTCTTCATGCGCCTTCAGCAGCATCTTTAAGCATTCGCTAGGCGAGACTAGGAGCTTTTTGATGGCCTTCAAGCTTCGTTGAGCACTTTGGCACGCCTTGACACGCTGTTTTCTGCATCTCCAAACCAGTTGAAGCGTCTCAAGCCGGGTCTCCGAACGCCTTCAGGAGCCTGAAGCCGTTTTGAAGCTTATGAGTCGTCCTTCAAATCACCTTCCAAGGCTTCCTAGCATTGCAGAAAGTCCAGGATTTAGGGTTCAGGGTTCCGTTGGCTCGCGACGGCAGTGCCAGCGCGAGAATCTCAGTTCCAACTGAGACATCTGAGACAAAGTTGCCCAACCTTTTAAAGCTTCAAGAAGAAAGATGCATAGAGGCTGCGAGAGGCGTGGCAGGAATTCAGGGCTTCCGACGAAGAGGCTTGAGGAGGCCCCGGCCAAGAGGCTGGACGCAAGTTTGCAAGCCGCTTCTGAGTTTCGGTCCCCCAACAAAGGCTTCCCCTCCAAGAAGAACAATTGCAATAATGAGAGTGTTACCAGGAATCAGCTCTGGCGTGGCTTCAAAGTTGCACGGTGTGGGGGGGGGGGGGGGGGGAGGAGGACTGGAGCTGAAAGTGTTTTCGATCTTCACACTCACATGGGACACGGTCTGCCAGGGGCTGGGTTTAGGGTTTAGGGTTTAGGGTTTAGGGTTTGGGGTTCAGGGTTTAGGGTTTAGGGTTTAGGGTTTAGGTAAACACTAAACCCTAAACCCTAAACCCTGTTTGTAATTCGCGGGCACTTGATCTTTCTGGTCTTCGCACCTCCTCTTCTATGCCGCTGGAGTTGTTGAGGGGAAGTTGCGGCGCAATGCCTCCACAATACCCATGCCCTAAATCCCAAAGGCCCTAACCCTAAACCCTAAACCCTAAACCCTAAACCCCTAAAACTCGTTAGGGAATAGAGAAGCTGGCCCTCATCTCTGCTGCCCAGGAGCTACGAAGATGATCCTCGTGCAGTAGCTCCTCCTGGCTGGATTCAGAAGGGTTTAGGGTTTAGGGTTGAGGGTTTAGGGTACGGTAGTCCTAAATGATAAGTTAGAGGGTATTAGAGGGTGTGTCAACCCTAATCCCTGCATCCTCAAGACGCACGTGAAAGTAAATTGTTGGCGGTTCCTGAAAAGCCTTACAAGACACCAAGCCCTAAACCCCAGGAACCATTATTTGAATTACTCGTGCACACAGGTTTCAAAGGAGGTGCAAGGAGGGCTGGGGCCCGCAGCCCATCTTGGTGGACAAGGGCTGCAGGGTAAACACAACACATGCCTTCGGATGTGCGAAGCGGCCCAGTCTAGCCAACGCTGCAGTGAGGCCACGGTGGAGACTGTTGACGGGAAAGGCAGTTCGCAATCTGCGGCCATAAGCTGATGTGACCTTCGAAGCACACCGACACACTACAACCACGCGGTCACGCCTCAGCCACGTCGAACTCGTCACCGCTGCCACTCTCAGCCGGCCTTAGACATGATGTTGGGACGACTTCGTGTCCATTCGTGCTGAAGGAACCCTAAATACTAAACCTAAACCCTAAACCCTGGTAAAGAGGCTCAAGGGACATCAGCTGGGTCCCTGGCAGCTCTTCTTCACCTTCAGGGTGGGTGAGTGGTGTGGCACACATCATGCATCACGCTGTAGGCTGAACTTGGAGGCTCCTGGTACGTACTAACCACTAAAAACTGTACTTGCAACCCACTTCTAAGCCCCTTAAGTGCCCTCATATGGTTATAGGTACAGTTCTAATTGGTTCATATGTGCCATAACCTCCGATGCTGAATCCTTTTGCTGGGAACCCCTGCCTTCGTGCTGGTCTTGCTCTGGAGGCTCTGCGGCCATCTCCGCAGTGTCACTTGAACTTTCGGCAGCCTTGGCCGTTGAGATCCTCTGGACAGAGAGCCCCATGGCCGACATGTCCTCTGCCGCATCTGTCTCACGCCCCTTCCGCGACCCTTGCGCGCGCGGACTTCCAGTTCCTGCTCCCTTCGGTGACACAGGCCCGGTCCCCTTCGGGGATAGACCGGCAGCCCCCGTCACAGCCAGATCGTCCACGGCATTGAGGGCATTGCTTATTGCTTTGTCCAGGGCGTTCTTGCAAGCGACTTGCCTCCCACCTGCTGGCATCCTTGGATGAGTTTCAAAACCCTCTGTCCCGCAGAGAAACCCACTGGGAGGGCTGAGAAACCCCAAAACCCAAAATCCCAAACCCAAAACCCAAAACCCTGAACACTCACATCAGCTAATGCAGCTAGGGCAAGCCGAGCATCATCAGCGCGCCCAGGATACCCAGCTTGTCCTCTCAAGGCATGGAAGCACCACACAAATCAAGGCAGCAGGACCAGGACCAACCAAACATGTCGGCAAACCTGGTTCGGCAAATGTTGTTTAAGAACTGATTCTAATCTATGTATGTATATACATATATGTATAAATAATAAAATATATATGTCTGATTTAAACGAAGTGCTTGTGGTTGGAGCTCTCTTCCAAGTGCTTTCTAGTGTGGTGGTCTTGCTGCACAGAATCTCTCTCCCTGGCATTCGAAACGTCAAGCCTGCGCGGGATAGCACTCGTGGCCACCCCGAAAATGAGACACCTAAACCCCAAAGACCCCGAAATCCTGAAACCCTAAGACCTGAACCCGGACCCACAAATCCAATTCCCCTAAACCTTAACCCTAAACCCTGAACCCTAAACCCTGAACCCTAAAACCCTAAACCCTGAAAAAGCAGCTCAAATCCAGGCCCGCGGCCAGCGCGCGCTTGCACTGCACTGCGTGGCCCTGGGAGCGCTCCTCTACAGCGGCTTCGGGTTTAGGGTTTAGGGTTTAGGGTTTAGGGTTTAGGGTTTAGGGTTTAGGGTTTAGGGTTTAGGGTTTAGGGTTTAGGGTTTAGGGTTTAGGGTTTAGGGTTTAGGGTTTAGGGTTTAGGGTTTAGGTTTAGGGTTAGGGTTTAGGGTTTAGGGTTTAGGGTTTAGGATTTAGGGTTTAGGGTTAGGATTTAGGGCTTAGGGTTTAGGGGGCCTATTGGGTTTCCTGGGCTGAGGCTTTATGTTTTTGCCACCCGCCTAGCTGACTGAAGGGTTCGTAGGGTATACGGTCGCAGGAGTCTAACTCCGAAGGGCCTGTGCCTGTCAAGTATAATGCTATGTTTAGGTACATGGATAAGATCCTAACTCGGACCCTTGATGCTGTACCCTTGGGTTTACTCGGCGCTATCTCTGAGTCTGAGCAACTGAGCGCGGTACCCTTGGGTTTGGGGTTTCCCTTTTTGATGCTCCTCTAAGGGAACATAAGGGCCATATCAGAAGTATACCAAGAAACCTGTTAGGGGTCATCCTTAGAGGTACGAATGTTAACCCCATGATACGAGGCTTTCTTCCCAATGGCCCTCGCCCGGGCTACTTTGCGACATTGCTCCTTTTTGTCCAGATGCTGGTCCATACTACACACAATGGGTTTTGCAGCGTTCTCAACGCGCCCTTTGAGCACGCACAGCTTGCAAGGCAGGCAAAGCTGGCAGAACAAAACAGGGTAAGTTGGTCCTGGGAGCAACACTATCTTGGACGTCCCAAAGCCTGAGCTAGTTGTCGCTCATCGGGCTCGCTGCGCAGCTGCTGTTACTTTCATTTCGGACTTGTCTCTTTCTCGCCAACCTCAGATGCGACTTGCTTGGTGCTGGTGCATTCTCAGTTCAGGATTGCCAAACATGACATTTTGGGATGTTCCCTTATACTAGCAGTCATCCACAACTAAAGATAAACTCTCAACCCTAAACCCTAAATCAGCTGCGATGCTGGCGTCGTCCAGGCTCCCTCTGTCCACCCCCTGACATCGACCATTTGAGTCCTTCACAGCCAAGACCCCCTATACGAACAGTCCTTAATCGGGATTCTAATAAGGGGTACTATAGGGGAGCATCCCAACCCGAAGCCCTAAACCTTAAAACCTATATCCAACGCAATGACGTGGCGTATCGCGCAGGGCAAGGGCTGGGCACGTCCCAAAACAAGGGCTGGGCGCGTCCCAAAACAGAGCTGCTGCTACTTGCCTTTGGTTCGAGGATTGCCCACCATGAGTTGGAGCCATGAGAATTTCAAAGGGTACCGAGTACCTACTGACTGTACCCTTTTTTGCGGGGTTTTAGGGGGTTTTAGGGGGTTTTAGGTTTTAGGGTATCCTTTTCTACGGCCAAACGCCTATACGCCAGTGAAGAGGCAGTGCAGGGCCTGGGCAGGGTCTCCCTGCCTGAGTTGATCCTGATTGCTTTTGCATGCACGTGCTATCTGGTACGGGGTTCTCTTTTCTCGGGTGGACGGTGCAATTTCCAAGTGGTTCAGGTCAAGTCCTCGCAAAAATACTGAAACTCCGACTTGCGACTCCTGATGCCGCAACAACCCAGCATCCAAGCAGACGAGGCAGTTGCCTTGAGTGTTAGGGGCCCCAAGACCGAAAACGCCACTATGCCTCGAACTCGGAAACTTTGCCTTCCAAGCCACCCGGCACCCGCCCTAAACTCCCCAAACCACCCAAAACCCTTAACCCTTAACCCTAAACCCTAAACCCTAAAGGCTGTCCGTGAGCTGCGCCACGAACCCCCAAAGCTTGTCGGCGGAAAGTCGCCCCCGGGCTGCGGCGTGGTACCGCTTCACCTCAAAATTTTCCGACCCCAAACCGCCGAATATGGGGGACTTAGATTCATTCATTCCCATAGGGCCATAGGGGTTGTTGTTCCGGATTGGGGTGCACTTATCTTTTTTATTTTTTTTTTGGGGGGGGGGGGGGGGGGGGGGGGGGGGGGGCGCGGGGAGGGCCGTTTTGAGTTTAAGCTCCCTGCGACAGTCATGGCTTGGCCCTCCCCTCAATCTCAAAGCCAGAAGCTATGAAACTCTGACTCCTCAAAGAGCAATACCCAGAGAGCCCAAAACCCAAAACCCTGAACCCCAAAAAACCAGATTCAGGTTCCCAACACAGCTTAAGAAAAAAAACTCTTCAGGGCTCTTTGGCCCCCGCGAGTGGCACTTACAAAGTGAAAAGGTTGAGGGTTTAGGTCATTTGGGGGCTTCCCCCCTGGTCCTGACAGGGCACAAGAGTAGCCACAGACTCAGCAGGTTCGTCCACCAGCTCCAAGCGAAGGAAGCCTGGGTTGGGGGAGCCACACTGCAGAGATGCAACACGTCAAAAGTCTGTGGTTTTAGGGTTTAGGGTTTGTGATGTCGAAGACGGTTGAAACATGCGCGTGCAGGCAGGGCGACACTTCAACCAAAACGCCAGTACTCAAAGGAAATAGATTCTACCTCTTTTCGAAGGACATCAAAGGACCTCACCGAGCCACTGGAGAGTCAGGGTTCAACTTTCCCAAAGAGGGTGTAGGGTCTTAGGGTTTCTGAGCTTTGTCCCGCATCCTGAATTCTAGGGTTGACCAGCCCACGCCACTCATGTCTGTTGGGTTTTAAAGAAGCCACAGAGAGATCAACCGGATCGTGCAACAGTTTTCCCCCGTCCCCCCTCATCCTGCCCCTAACGCCATCGATCAACCAAAAGGGAGGCACTGTATGGGGACCGCAGACCTGCGTCTCCTGATCTGCTTTAGGTACAGACAGCCATCTGGATTACTTTCCTGCTTCCGAACCAACCGAAACCATCCAACATGTACCTATTCATCAAACGACATGGCTCCGTCTCCTATCGCTCAACGAAAGGCATAACACACGAGGATGGCTTTCCTACGCTGAAGGGTTTAGGGCTATAACCACGCATGGGTGGGGTTTGTTTCTTTCGGGGCCCGTGTAAAGAGAAATCCCAATCAGAAGGCATTCAGTCATTCGGGGACCCCAATGTAGGACAACGCTATCCCCACAATCGAGGTCTGTAAACCTGAGGGTGCTTTCGGGCTTAAACCCGTATCCCTAGCCTCCCCACTTCTTCACAACAGCCTAAAAACCGTCCCCAAAACCGAAGGCCCCTAAGCTTCCTGAACCCTAAACCCTAAACCCTGAACCCTAGACCCTAAACCCTAGATCCTAAAACCCGAAACCCGAAACCCTAAACCCTTAGCTTGCTGAACTGAGGTGTGCGGGCCAAGCGCCCACCCCCGCGGCCGCGAAGGCGGCCAGGTCCATCGCCGCAGACTGGGCCTCCGAGTCGAATCGCTTCGGTAGGGTTTAGGGTTTAGGGTTTAGGGTTTTAGGGTTTTAGGGTTTTAGGGTTTTAGGGTTTTAGGGTTTTAGGGTTTTAGGGTTTTAGGGTTTAGGGTTTAGGGTTTAGGGGTCACGGGCTTTCGCTCTGGCACTCGCACGGGGCAGGCAGGGATTCGGCCGGACTCCCAATGACTTTAGGGTTTAGGGTTTAGGGTTCGGCCAGGGCTGATTGCAGGGCAGGAGGGGGTTGTGGGAGTTTCGGGGCTGCAGTTCTCTCTGGTTTAACCCTAAACCCTAAACCCTCTTCTGTCTCAGTTTTTACTCAGAAGGGACAATGGAGGGCTCAATCTGCTTGGATCGCTGAAGGTCCGGTGTTTCCAGGCCACGTCGGGACCAATTCAAAGATGGTATATAGAGCCCCAAAAAAGGATCCTACTTTACCGGATTACCCATATTGGTAACCGTACAAGTCTCCTGAATTATGTCTTCCACGCCTTGGCGTTGAACACGGTGTTTCGGCAGCCCATGTCTGCAAGGACCTCGCCAAGCATATGTGTGTCTGCCTTGCGGCATACTTGTGAGGATTCTCGCCAACGACAGAAGCACGGCTGCAGGAATCAGTGCGGGGTTCCACTATTTGCTTAAGAACCCCCAAACAATACAAAAACATATCAGGGCAATATAGGGATTACTTTCTTCTGGGGTTTAGTTCAACAAATAGTGGGGCTTCGAGCCCCGACAGTCGGCTCATGGCATGCCAGGGACGAGTTGGGTGGAGTGGGGAGGCGGGCACCATCAGAACTCCTCTCAACCTTAAAACCGAAAAACCCTAAACCCTAAACCCTAAACCCCAAACCCTAAACCCTAAACCCTAAACCCTAAACCCTAAACGGCCTTGTGGTCCTTACCATTGGAGTCCCGGAGATGTAGCGAGGATCGCTCGCAGGGATGGCCGCAATCCGTGAAGTCGTTCCTTAACAAGGGGCTCCCAGCTTCTGGGGTTTAGGGTTTAGGGTTTAGGGTTTAGGGTTTAGGGTTTAGGGTTTAGGGTTTAGGGTTTAGGGTTTAGGGTGCAGGGTTTAGGGTTTAGGGTACAAGAAGACCTTGAACCTTCTTCTAGCATAAACTAGTACAGGCTATGTATATGTTTAGTAGATTTTTGGTATTCCCTGTATGATGGTGTATTCCCGATTTGGCTTCTAACATCTGGCTTCTTATCGCTTATTCGTGTCCGGCAACAAGATGCATGGAAAGCTCGACTCTTTGGCAGGCCGCTCGTCTACCGTAACGTACAATCAGGTCTTCAGGCAAGAGGTCGGAGGTTCAGATTTGTCTGCCTCTGAAAGAAGACTGGAGAACTCTTTGGCTTTGGGCCTAAAGCCTTAACCCTTTTTCCGTCTGGGCTGGGTGGGGAATGCCAGAAAAAGCAGCTGCTGGTACAACGGACCCTAAACCCTGAACGGGGTGGGTGGCGGAGAAGGGGGGCAGGAGGTTATTGACTTTGTGACCTTTAGGGTTTAGGGTCTTTTGCCACCCGCCTAGCAGACCCCCTCTGGGATTAGGGTTTAGGGTTTAGGGTTTTGCACGTGCTAGCAGTGCACAGCGCAGGGGTTAGGGTTTAGGGTTTGGGGTTTAGGGTTTATACCTCCCTATGCAAGCCTACACCCAACATCCATCAAGTTTTCCCTGCCAGGAGCGATGAACCCCGTCTCCCGGCGTACTCCTTTTGCATGTTGAATTCGGCAAAAAGCTTCCTCATATCCCGCTCCATTATTGGCCCAAAGAGACCCTAGCGGGAACCTCAACCCACCGCCAAGGCACCCCTTGCTCAGGAACCGCGCAAACACGCAGTGCTCCGTGTGAAAGATGGGAAGGTGCTGGTGGGCAACGACCTCTCGGCACCCTAAGGCTTGGGTGGGTTTTTTTTGCCACCCGCTTAGCTGACCTCTCGGACACTCTGCAGGGAATTGGCGGTTTAAGTACTGGGTGGGTTTAGGGTTTAGGGTTTAGGGTTTAGGGTTTAGGTTGGGGTCTCTGAAGGGTTTTTGGTGATTCCCCTGTTCCTGAATTTGCCCTTACTTCAAAAGGAGCCCGTTCTTCTAAACGGGTTTCCCGGCCATCCCCCGGAAAGTCATCAGGTCACCATGGCTTCGGCTTGGCAAAGACATGGCAAAGAGGTTTCTGCCCCCTGAGAACACCCCCCCCCCCGTCCCCGTTGGGGGCGTCTCAGAGTGCCTCTCAACCCTTTTGACTAGACCCCAAACCCCAAACCCTAAACCCTAATTCTGCCCGACCATGCCGCGCGCCCCTTTCCAAGCCTCCAAGCGGCCGGCTCTCTCCGGTCCGAGGCGCTTGGCCATCCTTGGCTGTCTTCAAACCCTAAACCCTAAACCCTAAACCCTAAACCCTAAACCCTAAACCCTAAACCCTAAACCCTAGCCACATATAACAACCAACACACACACACACACTACCACCACAAACCCACTTAGCCACTTAGGCTTCCGACCGCGTTGTTGACTGGAATAACTTTCAGCCTTGTCATCATGACATGGATTGTCCCCGGCCTTGATGAAGGCGAGGTCTCCAAAATCCTAACCAATCCCCTCGAGCGTTGATCTTGGGGTTTAGGGTTTCGGGTTTGGGACTTGGGGTTTATGGTTTAGGGTGGGTGTAGATATGTTTGGCCACCCACACTGACACTGCCGACGCTCGCATGCGAATACGCAGGGACTCTTCGAGGATTCTCAAGCCGAGGTGCTTTCACAATCTCGACGGGGAACGCACGGAAACCCCTAGAACCCTAAACGCTCGCCAACCCCACCAAAACTCCGCATGCGCCTCAAACACCTTTCTCTCGATCTGTGTGCAGCTCACGGGGTGTGCAGGTCCCGTTTCACCACTAAGAGGCCAAAAAACACAACACACAACGTTCAATTGCCGACCTCAAACCTACTTCCTCCGTTGTACCCCCACGAACAAGCTGTCTGTCTTGAGCTGTATGCTAAGACCCCCTTGGGACCAGCCTGGCTGGCTGGGAGCTTGTGGGGGCGAACAGGGCATACCCCAACCACATGGCCTGCCTTGAAACTACGGGCCAATGCTGCCATGTCATGGTTGGGAGCCCCTTGCTGGGCCGGTCGGGCCACCCTCTAGGATTTCGTGAAACCCCAAAAGGGGGGGTCCAGGATATGCCCGGACACATACTGAAAATGCGGGTGTTTTGGTATTCAAATGAACGGTTTTAAGCCCCCTCCATTTTACTCCACGAAAGCCCCCATGACCATGAGCCACCAACAGGCTCCACAAGGCTCAAGGAAGTTGCTGGGACCCCCCCCCCCCGCCTGCTCTTATTCCGCTCCTACAACTCTGAAAGAAGGAAAAAGCAATAAAGGTGTTTGGGGGGGGTGAACCCTATACCCTAAATGAGAATAGTTTGGGTGGCTGGGCTGGGACTACATGCTAACGCAAGCGAGCGGCCCGGGTGCTTCTAGCACCAGCGAGCTTCCCTTCTATCCACCCTAAACCCTACACCCTAAACCCTAAATGAACCCTTTTGAGAGTTCTAGGGTTTTAGGGTTTAGGGTTTAGGGTTTAGGGTATAGGGTAGTTTATAGGGGGCTTTTCGGCTCCAATGCATCCCGAAGGTGCTGGCAAATCTGCATGGCGCTGAGGTCATGGGTTGGGGTGAGCCGCTCCAAGCCTCTGCAGCAAGGTCATGGGTCGGGATGTTCCCCCTTATTTGCAGTACCCCTCCCTATAAGGACTGTCAGAAAAAGTGGAACATCCCAAGGTTTAGGGGACGATTGGGGGAGGGGCACTCCGAGTCCTCACAGCATCGATCGCGGTGATAGCAGTTTGCAGCACGGGTTGTACAAACAGCAACATTAGCGAGCAACAGTTTATGAAAGTTTAGTGTTTAGGATGTAAGGTGTAGGCATACGACCACGCAACGACACCCAGCATTGGCGCCCACAATCGAACTTTGCAAGACATCTGCACATTGACTCTGACGGTTCGGGCAAATCAGTACGCCGCACTTCCGGGGGAGCAGCCTGGCAAGCCCAAATAGAAGCCGGCGCTCACGGCATTGGCCGCGTTCCTTGAAGGGACATCTTGCAGAGGTGCGGCTTGTTGATGGGTCAAATTCAGTTCATGCAAGACATGTGCCACCACTGGCACCACGACTAGCGAGGTTGGTCCTTAAACGCCTCTGAAAAATCTTCCTCAAGAGGGTCCTCTTTAAACCTATAAGGGAAGATCTAGACACTATCCCAGGGGCCTACCGAGCTATGTGCATCTAATAGGGTGGCTTCTGCTATGCCAGGTCACAGGCTGAAGTCACCAATCACTTCAGGGCCCTCATAGCCTGCCATCAGCAGGAAATGCGGGTTTAGGGTTTAGGGTTTAGGGTTTAGGGTTTAGGCTTCTTGTTCCCACGGACACAGAGAGAGCCACAAAGGCTAAGCGGCTAAGGTGGACCTTCGCCATCAAAAAGCGTGTGCACACTGAGGATGATCCAGCTCTAGAGGCATCAACATGTGGCCAAGCTACCTAGATCCTGCTGCCTGCCAACATATTGGCAAGTCTTTCTTGTCTTCCGACTTCCAACTTTCAACCGCTTTGGACCTGCTCAAGCTCTTGTGGGGCCTTGATCGCTCTCCCCAAGACTGAGCATCTGATACAGCGCTCCGCTGCCCCGCACCAGGAGGGCGTCGGTCTGAAGGCGACGGTAGAACCTTGGACAATACGAGGACGGCTGAGGCTACCACTCCTGCTACGAATTGCTCATATTGCTCCTCCTCCTACTGCTACTCAGCTACTCCTACGGCTACTTCTGCGACCTGTGCGACTGCGAAGCTGCCACAGGCGGTCCTCGTTTGGCTTGATCACGCGTGGCAAGCACACGGCCACGCGCTGTGTGGCTGCGCGTGCAGCGGCCACACTCTCCTTCTTCATGAGACAACAACTCACGTTTCTTAGCGGTTTCGGCTTCAGGTACATCTGCACCTGTGCCTGTGGGGAAGAGACTTCACTTAACATCAGTAACATCCGGCTTGAGTCATTACTGTCATTACTCTTATGCCTGGCCTGCAAGCCATTGGCCTCCAGAAAATCCAACTGCAGCTCGTAGACCAAACCTCTGGGCAATGCCAGGACGGCGGCAGCTTGTTCTGGGTTGCGGCAGAGGACGGTTAAGCGAGGCACAGGAAGCTCCGACTGCATGAAGGAGGTCTTCTGCTGGCGGAAAGGTGGCAGTGTGGGAACGACCAAGCGACTCAAAGTGTCCACCACCTCTGAAGACCCAGGTTCCAATTCCAAGCTCCGCTTCGCCGTTGCCTCGGAGGGCGGTCGTCTGATTTGTCTGCTAAGAGATCCCTTGGTGCCAGGGTGAGAGAGCGTGATCATCCTTGCTCGCTCCTCTAGGGCCTCATCCTTGTTTCTCCAAACCATGTCTCCGGGTTTTACCTCAGAGCCCAGTCGCCTTCGACGCTCCTGAGCCGTCGCGCCCTGGAAGTCCACACGCACGAAAATGATGGCTCCTTTCTCCAGACCCTGACTTGACTCCACGGCTCCACCCTTAGGCAGCCTCAGTTTCGAGATCTTCCCCCCAAGTACGGCGTCATCACCCTTGAACTCCACACTGTCGAAGAAAATGCCGGCACCGGGTCTCAAAGGGACAGCGACCGCTCCCGGTGCGAGCTCGAGCGCGAACGAGCTGGTCGTGGCCTGCACCGCCCGGACACGACCCACAAGGACGCCTCGGTGTTTAGGCGCAAGTCCCCGCACGAGGCGCTGGTGCCGTGGACCTTCCAAGAAGCCGGGGGAGAGGCCATCGTTCTCCTCGTCCTGGCCGCGGGCGAAGACCTGTGCCAAAGCTGCGCGGGTCACCTCCGGCGTCTCCAAAAGCTCACTCCCAGGCCCCTGTGGCTTGCTACTGTCACCATCCCAAGCACGGTCGATGGCCCGGCGATATGCTGCTGTTGTCAGGGACACGTACTCCTCACCTTTCAGTCGGCCCTCGATCTTGAAGCAGCCTGCACCTGCGTCGATCAAAGCTGGCACGTACTCCAACGCCATGAGATCCTGTGGGGAGAGGAGGTAGCGCGTTGCGTCGCCCAAATCCACAAGCTCACCATCCTTGATCAAACCATATGGCAAACGGCAAGCCTGAGCACACTGCCCACGGTTGGCGGAGCGCCCGCCCCAGGCTTCTGACGAGAAGCACTGCCCGCTGTACGACACGCACAAAGCTCCATGGACAAACACCTGGGGGCCTTACGATAACCCCTAGTTATAGACCCCCAAGTAGCAGGATCCCCTATAATAAGGGCCCCAAAAATGTACCCAGTATCGTAAACCCCCACCGAAGAGGTGGTTCCAAGCCAATAAAGACTGAAACCGAAAAAACCCTTCCCAAGACACTCGCCCCCCTCCCACCCCTTAATTTTCTGAGGACCTTCCCAATCTCCTGCCGGACGCAAACTCTTCTTTGGGGCAGGGGTGGGGGGGGGTGGGGTAGGGCAAGGAAAAAGCATGTCCAACCATAAGCGTCATCTGATTTTCGGGCTGTGGCAACGACTTGGGGCCCAAGAAGAAGCTCCTTTTATACATCCAGGCCACTGAGGTCTGCCGGGCAAGAGATAAGACTCTAAACCCTAAATCCCCATACACCCAGCCACCTTAAACATCAAAAACTCCCTAAACCCTAAACCCTAAACCCTAAACCCTAAACCCTGACGCCTCGATCTCCACGTTGGGGGCGTCCCGTGCCACTGCGGCGATCTCCTCAAGACTCAGCTCCCGACCCAGCACGACACGTTCGGCACCCAGGAGCTCGTTAGCAAACCTGTTAGGGTTTAGGGTTTGGGGTTCAGGGTTTAGGGTTTAGGGCAGGAAAATGCGGGTGTCGACAAATGGGTTTCTAGGGTATGTCGGTGGTGTATAAAGCGTTTGACTAGGGCTTATATGGGGGGGATTTTAGATACTGGAGAACTTAACCCTTCCTCATAAGCCTGACTAAAGTAGCGTCGTGTGAAAAAACTCCCCGGTCGCCCAGCTTTAAACCCATCCGAATAGCAACGCTCCGGAGGCGGATGTAATTGACATCTGCGTGGAGGCGTGCACTGGCACGTGAGGGCAAAGTTCCCGGCAGGCTAAGGCAAGGCCGACATCTTGCACGATGAGGGCATCAACATTTGTATCTCCCACCACCTGGAGCGCTTGGACAGCTGTTCCACTGCCAGGGCGCCCTGAATCTAGAGGGTCAAAGAGCTCGTGGTCGAAGACCAGTACATTCAACGTGACGTAGGCCTTGACGCCATGAGAGTGCAGGAAATCCATCACTTCTGGAAGTTCATCGGTGGTGAAGTTGGCAGCTCGCGCCCGTGCATTGAGGCCAACATCCAGGCCAAAGTACACGGCATCGGCTCCTGCGCGGACTGCGGCGCGCAGCTGAGGCCATCCGCCAGCGGGCGCCAGAACCTCGGGCTTCTGGAGCAGCCGCACTGGGGCTGCCTGGGCAGAGTCGGCTTCCAGCTCCCGGTAAAGCTCGGAGTTCTTCCGGCGCTTCCAGGTATCCTGCTTGCTGTGCTTGCTCGCAGCTCGGGAGGTCACGCCCTGACGTCTCAGGAGGGCGAAGGCTGGAAGCAGGGTCAGACCACGCCTTCTTCCTACGCCGACGCCGCCCGCTTCCCGACAAGATGGCTGCCGAATCTGGCCACTGCGGCTCCGTGAAACCACATGGCCAGGAGCATGAAGTCCGGGTTGTGGGCGAGAGAGCATGATGCCAAGCGGTCCATGGGTAGCTAGCTACACAACCTTCCCATCAGAAACTTTGCATGACTTTGCAAATATGGCTTGTCTAGAGCTGTCTCTTGCATCTCATGACTTGTTTGTGCTGCTTTCGGCAGGTGATGGACCAAGAGGTATCAAGAATCAATCGCCAACATTACCCATAGCACCCATATGCACCCATGTACATCCATCAGGCACCTTCCCAGGCCGAGTGGAGCAAGGGCCAAAAGCTCACGCACGCGACAAAAGCTTTCAGACATGGTGGGTTGGTCAAAGGTTGATCGATGAAAGTGCGGGCGATTGCGAGCCGTGGGGAGGGTGACTTTTTGGTTGGACTCCTCTTAGAAACAAACAAGTAACATAACAATATAGACTTCCAATGGAGATGAAAGCATGAACAGCCGAATGTGGCTTCCGTTCCGTCTCTGAATAACCGGCAGCTCAATGCACGTTGTTTAGGTTGTTTTTTCCTAAGGGTTTACCTACGCAGGGTTTAGGTTGTTTTGCCACCTGCACTGCACACACCCACCAGGGGCATCCGCTCCGCAGGGACTATTCGAGGGTTCCGGGCAGGGTTTAGGTTTTACAGGTTTAGCCTCCACTGGGTCCAAACCCAGGGCTTGCAAGAACTGGTACAAAAAACTCTGCAAGTCGCAGACCTGGAGGGACATTGCCCGTGCGCCCGGGACTCATCAGGGTCCACCACACTTAAACATTAGGAAATTTGGGGGAGGGCAGCAGACTTCCACCTAAAGAAGGCATGAAGGTTCTGTGTCCACTCCTGCGCAGTGACGTACTCCGGAGACTTCACACATGAGTCACCACGAGTCCCGAAATTTCTGTGCCCAAGACCATATGCTGGACAACTTTCAAGAAGGGCCCGTCTACAAAAGCGCGTCGGACGCGTGCGTGTAGAGAGAGGCCCAGGTCTTCGGCCACAGCCACTGACAAGCTTTCTATTTCTCGGCCTGCAGACCAAGCAACAGGCCATCCTAACTTCTCAGGTGCCAAACCCTCATGGTCAATGTACCTATATGGTATATACTTGGGCCCTATAGCTACTACATCGGAACCAAAGTATATACTGTATATAGGTACATGGACGTTTAGGGAAAGGGTTTTCGGATCTTTTCCATGTTTCCAACCGGCTTGGGACGTCCGCCTGCAGGAAGCGAAAGTATAAGTGAAACCTGCGACAAGATTGACTCACACCCCTCCACCTTTCAACCCTATACACCCTAATAGGGGGCGAAAGTCGTCTTGGTCTCCAGTCTGTCACTTTGAGGCCTAACTGAGAGATTTGGGGTTTGGGCACTTAGGGGGTTTAGGGGGCAAGGCTCTCTCTCTCTCTCTCTTTTGCGTTGCTGCTTTCGCATGGACGTCCTTGTCCTGCTCCAACTTGGAAAGTGTGGCCTGCCAGGCTCAGGCAGAGATGTGATGGTGCTCAGATCAACCTCTGGTGTTCGGGAAGCCGAAACCCTAAACCCTTTTTGCACCTAAACCATTGTGAACCTGGAAGCCTGCGCCCTACACCCTACACCCTTCTACTAAGACTCCCTGCCCATAAGGCACACAGCCTTGTCCAACAAGCTGCACTAAAGACACTGAACCCGGAATTCGAAACCCCGCTTCTTTGCTTACACAGAGTTTTTTTCTGAGAACCCCGGGCTCCTAGAACCTAACATTCTTTAGAGCCTCCCCAGAGAGCGTTAGAGGCCACAAGGCACTACACCACCCTGTCGAAAAGCACATTTCCCGAAGATTTCGCTGCGCGCCACACGACGAATGGGCACATCACGACAGGCCACCACGAAGGAGATGTGCTTCTTCGGAATTTAGGGTTTAGGGTTGAGGGTTTAGGGTTTAAGGTTGAAGGTTTAGGGAGCGAGCTGCAAGCAGCCATTCTGTGTCTAGTCAGATCTGCTTTTGCGAGGAGGTTAATCCCCAATGTGACACTCATCTTGTGGCTGCTACGCGACACAGCAGGCACCGAGATGTAACACCTGGAAGCAAAGATCTTGGGTCGGAAGCCGATGAGCATGCCAGTTCGCAAGTAGCAACTCCTGGTAACACCCTGAACCCTACACCCTACACCCTAAACCCTAAACCCTAAAAACTCCGGCATCGGCCTCCAAGGACTTCAGCGATGGCTCTGCCTGGTGTGGGGGGGTTTCTGAAAAAAGGGGGTACCTTTTGGGGGGTCCCTTAAGGGGATTCTATTCTGTTGGGGGTATAAAGGGGGTACTCAGTTCCCAATTTTTTTAAAAGGGGTACCTTTTGTGGGAAATGCCCGTGTAGGGCTTGGGGTTTCAGTTTAGGGTTTCATCGCTCACACCCAGACAACATTCTTCACTTGTAGCCCTGTTAGGCCCAAGGTGATACAGACAGTGATTAAGCATTGCTGCCACTGCGGTGATACGCTTGGTCTAACACCAGGATATGTATAAGTTGAACATAAACACTTTGACCCTTACCCCCTTCAGTTCAGCTCCATGACGTGTTACAAAGACCGGGTCAAAGGAGGGACTACAACCAGCATCCTCACAAATCAAAAGCTCAATCAGTTTAGGGTTTCGGGTTTAGGGATTCGGTTGAGGGTTTGGGGGCTTCGACTCTCACACTGACAGGTGCGGCTCACGTCTGTAAGCTCCGGGTGTGTCGCACTTAGCATGCTACGTGGCAGACCACCAAGACCGCTACAACCGTCTACACCTACAGCTACATGCTCGGCGCAGTACATTGTCCTGCAGGATTTGGGGGTGTAGCTTGGGATGTTCCCCCTTATACCAACAGCCTTGAATGGAGATTATAATAAGGGGGATCATCCCTATTAAGGACTGTTAGTATAAGCGGGAACATCCCGAGGTGTAGGGTAAGGGCTTCGTCGGGGTTTGCGTAGGGGTTTTAAGTTTAAGGTTTCAGCTGTTCCGGCTCTGGGGGGCTTCAAGGCTACAGGGTTCCTGAAAATGATTGTTCGGTTTAGGGTTTAGGGTTTAGGGGTTAACCATGACGATTGCTTATGGCTGTGTTCTTGACTGATGGTTAGTATGACTTCCTAAATGATCATTCTGGAAAGTGGCTGTTGCTAAGTTCTTGCTGCTCTTGCACTTCGCAGGATACCCCTAGAGCCTTGTTAGTGGGCATTTTGCAAAGTTGTCCGTGGGATGCTCAAGGTCAGAGTCAGACAAATTAGACACCCAACCCCCGAGAGTGCAAACATGTTGAACGAAAAACGTGTGAAACTCAGGCTCCGACTCAGACAAAGAAAGGTGCAGACCGACTTTTTGCATGCATTTTGCAAATTTGTTGTTGAGAGCTTTTTAAGAGAGTAATGCAGATTGGGTTTAGGAGCTTGCTGGGCCTTGAGTACAGTGAAATCGTTTCCTAATGTCGTGGGACCAATGGGCGGCTGGGTATGTCTCCGTCGCTTGACAAGAGGACGTGAGATGCTGAACCCTTAAGCCCTAAACCCCCAGTGCCCATAAACGCTAAACCCTTGGCAGCTGGACCATGCCCTAAACCCTAAACCCTAAACCCTAGGCCCTGAACCCTAAGCTCTAAGCCCTCAGCCCTAAGCCCATGCTCGTCCCGATGTCTGTTGCCGACCTACTGAGGCGCCTTCATCTGGGTCTGCGTGGCATTGAGCCCAGCCTGGCGAGAACTGCAGAATTCCGTGTAGCAACGGCAATACAGAATGGTAAAGGGCAATCGATGAATAGAATGGTGGACTGGCAGAATCATGCAAGATCATGAGACTACATATATGTATACATATATATTTATATTTATATTTATATTTATATTTATATTTATATTTATAATTATAATTATATTTATATAGCATATATGCATACATCTATATATATATATGGTCACATATATATATATATATTATGTACCAGTAATAATGCAGAGATCTCATAAGGCTACAATAGGCGCTGTTAGACTCGACCGCTTCACTCCCGGATGTCATGTGATCCGTCATGGTTGGGCAACTGTCACATTATAATAATATAGTCATATAGTCTTATGATACTATTGTACGGCTACACCCTAGCCCAGATTCCAAGCGACATAATAGCCGGCTTAAGCAGCTATTTCAGGATAAGCAAGACTCGCGGCTAACACCCCATCTTTTCCCTGCCCCTTCCAACCCATCTTCTGCTTCCTTACCCTCTTCCCCTCCCTTTGTTTCTTCTTGACGATCCCCTCTTCTTCTTGTTCTTCCCTACCCTCTTCCTCTCCCCTCTACTCCCAGAATTTTGGGATGCGTTTTGACATTCTCCGGCTCCTCTGCCCTCGGCGGTTCGATCATGATACAATTGTGTTTCTCTATCGTTTTCATGCAAGTGCAGAAATCTGCTCCGCACATGCCAGTTTGCAACGGCGAGGCAGTCACCAGCACCACGACGGACGAAAGTCCGGTCGTCCACGCAAGTGGAGACCCTCCCATCCCGGAGCGAACGTAACTAGATGAATGGAAAGATCATGTGAAGTAGGGTTGATAGTAGCAACTACCCAAGCTTCGTGACAGTTGCAAAGGCTCCAAACAAACATCCTGCGCAGCACCATCAATATTAAACAATTGAATACTGCCCCCCCCCCCCCCCCCCCCCCCCCGCCCTGATCCCGAAAAACGCATAAACAGACCACTCCGAGGGGATGGACCGATTCCCCTGCTAAAGCAGAAACTTAACTCAAGCTAGCTAAAGCTAGCTCATAGATTCAAATATGTTTTCTCATAACATGAGAAGTAAATAATATCTGAAAATAATTGTAAAACAACAATAAAATGATGAATTGCTATTTTCTTTCATCGTGCTATTACTTTACGGTTATGCTCTGATGGTGTATTATTCTACTAATACAACAGGTCAGTATTTTTAGGATCCCATATTGTAGTACTAAAACGACATGTTATCATTGCATTTTTGCATACTTCAAGAACCCTGCAGAAATTGGGAATCCCACAGCCTCCGCAAGCCAATCGTACAGACAAGAAACCCACAACCGCATGGGTAGTTCTTTACATTAGGGCCCCCTGCCAGTGAACTACCCACATAAATCACGCCCGTAACGTGAGCTGTGCCAAGCGACGCGCGACGGTTTTCGTCGCGAGTCAGCCCTGAGTGAGGTTTGCTTTGATGGGAGACATGGACCAGACAGCACAACTGTTCACAATTGAATGGAATCCTTGACAAAGATGGTTCTGAGAAGCTGGCTTTGGCGACGCGTTGCGCTGTGCACATTGACCGTTGATGCTCAAAGTCCGAGTCCTTTCCGCCTTCATGGGCATTCTAAACCTAAACCGTACCCTAAACATCCCTAAACCCTAAACCCCAATCCCTGAGCCCTAAACCCCAAACCCTAAACCGTAAACCCTAAACCCTTGCTGCTTGGGAAGAGGCAGAGGAGTCTTTGTCGCCACCCGCGTGTCAACAAGCTAGGATGCTACAGGCACCCATTCACTACGCTATAGCAACCACTCCATCCGCCCAGCCAGTATGCACATAAGGCGACCGGACTCCTGAAATTCACACGCTGAAACCCTAAACCCGATTGCCTAAACCCCAGACCCTAAACCCTACCTGCCTTGATACCAGTACCATCGCCGGGCCTGGGCATGTCTCGCCCTGTCTCACCCCCTCTCTCTCTGTTAGTGATTATGGTCGCAGCAACGATTCGAGATCTAATCTCTCTATATGAGTGCCGAGGGCTACTTTCACCCTGGCACCAGGGTTGCACTCTGAGAGCTGCGGTAGGGTGCCCAGTTGTGCAAGCTGTTAGCCTGAGGCGGGTGGATTCAGGTTGCCATGCTATCTCAAGAAAAGAAGGACCGCAATGAAGAGAAAAAACCACATAGGGGCCCAGGGACAATGCACATTCACATGCTCCTGGGTCCTACCCAGCATGCCAGGAATAAATCCAAGACAAACCTTCGTGGAGTCCCATCTTTTCTGAATCCTGGGACCCCGGACCACGGGTAAGAATTGGGATGTTCCACCTTATAAGGATATACTGACAGTCCTTATAGGGAGCATCATCGGGGGTACCAGAAGCCAAATTCAGGACTGTTAGTATAAGGGGGGAACATCCCACGGCAAGAACCAAGAAGCAAGGGGTGCAACTCCCACAGTCTAACCACCCAGCTGTCTGCAAATAAGTTGCACAGCGCCACGAGCTTTCAAGGCTTCAAATGTAGTCCTTCGATGGCGAGTTGTTGGGACCCGTTTGATGGGATCAGCTGATGAGGCAATGCAATCCCCATCTTAAACGCCGCATATCAATCTCATTCAATGCATTTGCACCTCTCTTTTTTCTCTCGAAATCGCCTGAGCAGTTGAGCATGCTCTCTAAGACGCGATTGGATAAAGGAACCTCGGCAGGAGTCTATTTGCCAGCTGCCGGTTTACCCTCTCTCCAGTCTCGAATGGCTACGCCACCTCTTCTGTGAGAATTTCCATAGCCATAGATTGTCCACGGCGTTCACGCGGGCGCGGCTGCACAAATTGCGCTTCAAACGCGTGTTGGCGCATGGCATCCTGCGCCCAGACTAGACCACATCTTTTGCGTGGCTAGCCCCTGCACATGTGCAGCAAGCGCCGTCTAGTTTAACAGTCTTTAAATGTAATATTACAAGCCCATGCAAGCCTTGCGGAAACGTAAATAGTTTACGTGGCCATCCTGTCAAGCAACTTTATATAGCATACACATAGAGCTGCAGCTATGTTAAAGAGTGAGAACTGCATGGCCAGGATGGTTTTCAGAGACCTACCAAGGTCCAAAAGCCGTGCGGAGAGGCCTGGCCGCTTTGGTGGAAGGCGCCTGGGCCTTGAAGCCTTTTGCCCTCAGGGCCGCCTGCGCTGCGGCCAGCTTCGCGATGGGCACGCGGAAGGGCGAGCAGCTGACGTAGTCCATCTTAACCTTATAATTGCCCAGCAATTCTGGGCGGAACTAAAGGATGACCTTTATGGGATTGTAAGGGGGATTTTATACTACCCCAAAAGGGTTCAAGTTTAAAGGTTGCCCTACTCTGCTAGGAAACCCGCTGGCAGAAATCGATCGAGGAGGGGTCCCCGCCATGCTCGCCACAAATGCCCATCTCGATGCCTGGGCGTGTCTTCCTTGGTAGCCCAGAAAAACCATATTCTGATAAAGGGCACCCTTTTGTGGGTTTCTTACTTTATAAGGGAACCCTGAACCAAAAAAAAAAGGAAAAAAGGGGCACCACTGGGCTGCTAAGCTTCTGCCCACGCTCCATGGCGATTTTGATGAACTCGCCTACGCCTTTCTCATCGAGGGTCACGAAAGGATCCTCCTCCATGACGCCCTTGGTCTTGTATGACTCCATGAAGGTGCCCACATCATCGCGGCTGAGGCCATAAGTCGTCTGAGTCAGGTCGTTGGTGCCAAAGCTGAAGAACTCTGCTTTCTCAGCGATCCTGCCTGCTTGCAGTGCAGCACGGGGCAGCTCAATCATACTTCCTACTCGGTACTTGAACTTCACCCCTTCCTCCTTCTGCACCGCTTCTGCCGTCTTGTCAATGATGTCCTTAATCGTTGAGAACTCCTCCAAAGAGGCCACCAAGGGAACCATGATCTCCACGGTTGGCTGGCACGTCTTCACCTCCGCGGCGGCTCCAAAAATGGCCCGCGCCTGCATGGCGCAGATCTCGGGGAAGGTGATGGCCAAACGGCAGCCACGATGTCCAAGCATGGGGTTGGACTCGCGCAGCTCGCTGGCGCGCCGCCGCACACGCTCCAGCGGAATGCCAGCTGCCCGTGCTACGGCGGACAACTCTGTCTCAGAGTTGTTGATGAACTCATGCAAAGGAGGATCTAACAAACGGACAGTCACCGGAAGTCCATTCATGATCTCAAAAAGCTCCGTGATGTCCTCGCGCTGCATGAAGAGAAGCTTGTGCAAGGCTTCTTTTCGTTCCCTCTGGTCCGAGGCCAAGATCATCTGGCGCATTGCCACAATGCGGCGACCCGCAAAGAACATGTGCTCCGTGCGGACGAGTCCCAAGCCCTCTGCACCAAACTCCTTTGCCTGACGAGTGTCCGCAACGGTCTCCGCATTGGCGCGGACCTGCAAGGTGCGAAACTCGTCCGTCCAGCTCATCAGCGTCTGGAAGGACTTTCCCAAAACTGAGCAAGTTGGCGGCACTGTGGGGAGCTCACCCAACATCACATCTCCCGTGTTTCCATCAATGCCGATGAACTCCCCCTGCTTCACGTTCACATCGCCAACTCGTAGAGTTCCTGAGGCCAAGTCCACCCATGCACCGGTAGCACCTGCACCTGCGTTGGGTCCTCTTGCATCACGTGCAGCACCCACAACACATGGTCGACCCATGCCACGTGCAACCACTGCAGCGTGGCTGGTGATGCCGCCCGTCATCGTCAGCACGCCTGCCGCAGCGTGAAGCCCATGGATGTCCTCCGGGCTGGTCTCCGTTCGCACCAAGATGACTTGCTCTCCATCGCTGGCACGCCTCACTGCCTGTGCAAGAAGGAAAGCAAATTGCACAAATTTAGCGGCCCGTTGGGTCTCAGCAGCCAATGGGTCTTATGGGATTGACAGCACAGTAGCCGGTTGCCCACTCGCTCAGGACCTCCGAAACCCGTGCAGATCTTATGTGCTAGTAGGTCTGGCAGCTGAATCCTACAAAAGTTGCGAGCCTCGTCGGCGGAGAAGACAATCTTTCCGGATGCAGCACCAGGCGAGGCAGGCAGACCCTGTCAGTTCACAGGGAGGCTTTGCAGCCCCGGGAAGAATCCAAAGACCAGACAAACAAGGCACCATGCCTACCCGTGAATCAAGCCCCGTTAAGCCATGACTTGCGAGTGCAAACTCAAGCTGCTAAAGCCTTTGGGTGCGGGGAAATTGGCCAGCGCAAGCTCTAGCATGTACAGCGTCCCATGCAGGACTTTTAAGCAGAGAAAAAACTGTGACAATGAAGGCTGGAAGGTGAATCATTAAATCCTTGCACGGGCCCACGTCTAAAGAGAAAACAATCGCTCTCGCTCCAGTTTGATGGCTTTGCACGACCTGGCCTGGATGAGAACCTTCTTCTCGAAGGCTGGGTCGATGGTGGGGTGCAGCAGGTGCTCCAGCAGTTGAGGCTTCAAGCGCATGATGGCTTCTTCCTTCGAGACAAGACCTGCAACGATGGGCTTGTGCAAAAAAAACTCTCACACCTGTCTTACAATGCTGACTACACATCTCATGCCGGCCACCGTCTTGCAGGTAAACGAATCTCCCGGCCTTCGTTTGCCATGTCGACTGCAATCTTGATTGCCGCATGTGTTGTTCGCTTGCCCGTGCGGGTCTGCAGCAGGAAGAGCTTGCCCTTCTGGATGGTGAACTCGATTTCGTGCATGTCCTTGTAGTGCCTTTCTAGCTGCTCCCGCACCCCCATGAGCTCACGGAACATGTTGGGCATGAGCTCCTGTAGCGAGGGAAGCTCACTGCCATGTGCAAGCCGCTGCTTCATGGTGAGCTCCCTTGGGGTACGGATGCCTGCCACCACGTCCTCGCCCTGCGCGTTGACTAGGAACTCTCCATAGAAGTGGTTGTCCCCGGTGGAGGGATCCCGGGTGAAGGCCACCCCTGTGGCACAGTCGTTGCCCATGTTGCCAAACACCATGGCTTGCACGTTCACAGCTGTGCCCCACTTGTCGGGGATGCCGTGCAGCTCGCGATATGTCTTGGCGCGAGGATTGGACCAAGACTTAAAGACGGCCTCGATGGCACCCCACAGTTGCTCACGGGGGTCCGTGGGAAATTCCTGGCCCAGTTCCACAAAGATCCTGGCCTTGTAGTCCCTCACCAACTTCTCCAGATCTTCTGCCTCCAGGTCGGTGTCCTGCTTCACTCCTCGCAACTGCTTCGCTCGATTCAACATCTTCTCAAAGTCCACGTCCAAGCCCAGCACCACGTCGGCATACATCTGAATGAAGCGCCGGTAGGTGTCGAAGGCAAAACGGGGATCACCGTACTTGTCGGACATGGCCTCTACGGTTTTTCCATTGAGGCCCACGTTCAGCACGGTGTCCATCATCCCAGGCATGGATGGAGGTGCCCCTGCACGTACGGACACAAGGAGCGGATTCGTTGAGTCGCCAAACTTCAAGCCAGTTCGCTGTTCCACTGTGGCCAAAGCGTTGAGAACCTCCTCTTTGAGCGCCTCCGGGAAGGTCCCATGCTGCTCAAAGTAACCTTGGTTGCTCTTTAGCCCCCCAATACGAGTTTAACTGTTGGCCCCCTTAATGTGAAATTAGAGGAACCCCAAAACTTATGAAGTGATAAAGCTGTAGTAAAGTCCCACCTAGTCACTGCAAACCTCTGTGGTCAACGTAAAGCCGGCCGGCACAGGCAAACCGATTGAGGCCATCTCAGCCAGATTCGCACCTTGGGTGTGCCCATGAGACCCTCTGAAAAATCTCCCCGCAACATGATCCTCTTAAACCCAAAGTAGGGGGCAAAATGTAAACTCTCCCAAAACACCCACCTAGGCACCTTTGTTTCCGAGTAAGTCTTTCCGGTCGGCTCCCCCGGCCTCACTGGCCTCACCTGCACCGAAATTGAAGACCCACTTCCCCATGGCTCGGAAGCTGGAAGCGGTTCCAGCTGTCTACGACTTGTTTTTTTTTAAAGGCCAAACTGCGCGCAGCACAAGCAACGTCCAGTGCCAAGCATGCATGCCGCAAACAAGCCCAAAATGCACTGAACAGCCACAGCAACAGCACAGCCTTCTCTGAACACGTGGATCCCACCCTAGTGGAGTTGCCCAAGAATGCCTACACTCAGCCGAAAGAAGACCCCTTTGCTGCACCTGTCTGTGGCAGTTGCTGGCTGGTGTATGTATGGTGGCTGTGGAAAGATTGGGGAGTTAACTGTCGTCTGCCTTGCAGATTCTGTGCTGGCAGCGAGCCTCTCGGAAGATAGCTGCCGGTCGCGCTTGCCGTCTCCGCCCGATATGTGACTCAGCATCAGCTAGCTCCAGCCCCAAGTCACTCACGCTGCAGGTCACCCCTACCTCTAAACCCTGTACGAGTAGGTCATGGTTGAATCCAAAGGGTTGGTTGCCTTCAGGTTCTGAATTAGACAAGCCCGGTGTTCGACCCATGGCATCTGCAAATCTACGCGAAGGTTCATAGGTGCACGCGTGGCGTACTGGTCCATGCATACCTGGGGCTCACCTTAAGAAGCCAAAACCTACTGTTTTTGGTTCTTCATACAAAGCACTGAAAAAAATCTTAGGTAACCCACAAATAGGGAGGCTTGGGTTCTTAAGGTAGGACTTAGGGTTTAGGGTTTAGGGTTTAGGGTTTAGGGTTTAGGGTTTAGGGTTGGGGGCACCTCCAGGGGTGACTGCAACCAGGCCCACATCAAAGGCCACCCTTTTTGGCTTCAAAAGGGGCTTTGTAAAAAGGAACCTAACTCTGCAAAAAAGAGAAAATCAGGGCCGACTCTGGGTCCCTAGGAAGGGTACTTTAAAGGAGCCTAACTCGATAGGAAAGGAGGGCCGACTCTGGGACTGGCAAAGGTCACCCTAAACCCCTAAACCCCTAAACCCCTGAACCCCTGAACCCCTAAACCCCTAAACCCCTAAACCCCTAAACCCCTAAACCCCTAAACCCTAAGAACAGGACAAAGGGCCGGTTCTGGGACCTCCTCATGTCTCCGTGCTCTGAGTGCCCGACCTACCCTGCAGGCCTTGGTGCGACCTGCTAGGGTTCAGGGTTTAGGGTTTAGGGTTTAGGGTTTAGGGTTTAGGGTTTAGGGTGTAGGGTGTAGGGTTTAGGGTTTAGGGTTTAGGGTTTCGGGACTAGGGGAATGGATGTTGTAATCAGAGTCGGGAGACAGCTTGAACCCAAGTATCCCGGCGCAAGGGGCTGACATCTACACGACGCAGGAACAGAGAATCGTCTAAGAGCAGGAAGCATGCGGAATCGTCCAGTCTAGAAGCCGTAAGGTCGAACCCCTCCAGCCGAGAAGCAACGAAGCTGAACACCAGCAAAACCCAACTGTTCTTGAAACTTGAACAATGCATAATGGGGATGATCCCTTCAGAGCCAAAGCAAACACCTCCATTTTCAGCTCGAACCCTAAACCCTAAAGCCTACATTCTTTTCACCCTAAACCCTAAACCCTAAACCCTAAACCCTCAAAAACCGACGCCTCGGGCGTGGCTCACTTGGGCTCCCGGGCTGGAAGCTTTGAGCATGTGGCCCGCTCCCCTGCTGCTTGGGGAGGCTTGGACGCCTGCCGAGGTGTGGCCCCGTTTAGGCGCTCTCCCGCATCCTATACTACGAGATAGACGAGTTTGGGGTTTAGGGTTTAGGGTTTAGGGCTAGGGTTTAGGGTTATAGGGTTTCGACGCTCACACCCGCACGAGGTAGGTTTAGGGTCTAGGGCTCCGCATCTCAAGCACAAGCATTCGCTAGTAAAGCTCCTTACTCCGGTATCGAATATCGACCCACCCACCCATTGGATCCCATAACAGCCCCGGGACAGGTTGTCCCGGCCCCCCCCCAAAAAAAAAAAAAACAAATGTCCCCGGCGTTGCTTGCCCGCGAATTTTTGGCGCTTGTCCGCGAAGTGTTGGTGGGTCCGCGAGTTGTTGGCGCTCGTCCGCGACCTGTTGGTGCTATTTTTCGGAGCTTGTCCGCGAACTGTTGCTATTAAATATACACATCAGTTAGAGCTGGTTTAGGGATGCCTCCTAAGGGAGGCAGAAGAGACCCGAATACACCCAAAAGCAGCCCGAAGAGGCCCTCCCAGCTGACCAACACGGCCTATGTTCCCCCCCGGCCCCCCTCCCCAAACTTTGTTAAAGCCCAGCGCCAGAAGAAATCGACATCCTGGGGGATTGGGGGGTGGGTTGATTAAAACCCAACCCAACATGATCCACTCCCAAAAAGAAATAAAGAAATAAAGCCCAAGTTTCAAGACCCAGAAACCCAGAGGGAGTGAGAAAACACTTCTGGACCTAACCCTAGACCCTAAACCTGCAACCCTCAACCCTAAGCCCTAAATCCTCGCCCCTTTGATCTAAACCGAAAGGCCCTTAGTATAATGCCGAAGAAGCGCCTTCCAGAAATTCGGCTGCCTGCGGGGAACTGGCCCACGTTCAGATCCCTGAAGGCAACAGGCTGATTTCAGGTTTACACTAAACTCCAAAAGTTGGAACATCCTTATCCCGATACCCCGTATACTAAAGGCAATCCCAGCTCTACTGACCCGTAAACCATGTTCCAACTTTCTGGAGTTTAAAGTACTGCAGGGTTAAAATTAAATAGCTTTTAGGGGTTGCAGGATGAGGGTCTACTATACTCCCCTTAGAACCTCAATAAAAACATAATATGTTCAATATCCTCTTGGGTTTTACATAAACTAAAATAAAAGTAATCCCCAAGGAGGATCTAGTCTAGGCTTTAGGGTTGAATCCCTCACCACAGGGACAAGTTTAGGCGAGGCACAATGGAGTCCGGTAGCTCCAGTGACTTCAGGGTTTAGGGTTTGGGGTTTAAGTTTTTGGGGTTTAGGGGTTTAGGGTTTCCGAGGGGCGGTTTGAGGGTTTCGGACCCATCGGGGTTTCGGGTGTAGGGCTTGCAGGTCTAAGATTTTCGTGTTTGGGGTTCTGGGTTCGCGAGGGGGGGGGGGGGGGCGTTAAGCTGGTGCCACGGATAACTCGGGCTTCAGTTCTCGTCAGCAGCATACGTTTCTAGGATACCAGGCTATCGGGCTTGTCTAGGATTTGTCTTTGCCGCTGGGGCTGAGGGGGATGTCATAAAGGCCCATTTCACGTGGATAGTTTCGCATGCACATCGTATCTGGCTCTTAGTGCCCTTCTACTTGCCTCAATTGGTCCTTACTTGCAGAAACGCCCAGACGTTGGGATGTTTCACTTAAACTCACAGTCCTTAACAGGGATTATAATCTAGGGGGCACCATAATCCCTATCAAAGACTGCTGGTATAAAGGGGGAACATCCCAACCCAGATGCCGCATCTTCTTGCAGCTCCTGGGATTCCGAGCACGTTTTGCAGCGGTGGTGTCCTGAGAAGCTGGTTGGGTTTAGGGGTTTCAGGGTTTCAGGGTGTTTTGGGTTTCAGGCTGAAAGTTTCAGGGTTTAGGGCTCAGGGCTCGCCATAGCCTGTGACGAAAATCCTGTGTGGACGCATGAACTGACAAAAAATGAAAAAATAAGCCCCAAGGGGGATATAATCCCTAAACTGCCTAAACCCTAAACCCTAAACCCTGAAACCTAATATAGGAGGCTTGCAGCAGAGTAGCACAGTCCGCACTCCCAGAATTTGGGCATCACCTTTGGAAGGCCGTCGCGAAGCCGACAGTGACCGCGCCCTGTGCTCAAAGGAATCAATCCTTTGGGGGTTTAGGGTTTAGGGTTTAGGGTATTCGGGGTACCTTATTGGGGGCCTGATTACTATTCGGGCCCCCCCCTCCATCTTCGTAAATCCCCATATAGAGGGCAGATACCGGCTAGGTGACCAGTGCCTAGACAAGCCCCTGAAAAAGACGTACAGGGTTTGTAATAAGTCTCTTACCTCCAGATTCTTACATGACAGAAACTACTCATCCCGAAAGCTTCCTAGAATTCATTGTCCAACAGGCAAAGAATAGCTGAATCTTCGCCTGAAAGCCTTGGGGCTCTGAAACTGCGCAACCAACCCCTCAACCCTCCCTAAACCCTTTTTGCACAGGCTTGTCTCAGCGTGCCCTCCCTAAACCCTAAACCCTAAACCCCTAAACCCCTAAACCCTAAATCCTCCACCCTGAACCCTGAACTGCACAAGCCACTTCCCTAGCCCCCCGACCACCTGCCTCTTAGTCCCTGCAGCCATCTTGCCTAAAGCCCTTACCCTCAACACCCAAACTCTACACCTTCCTATACTTTCATCCTGAAACCCTAAAACCCTCAGCTTTACATTTAGGCAGGCACAAACCTTAAACCCTAAACCCACAAGCCAATTTGTTTGTGCTTCAGCAGCCGTGCCTCGAGTTAGATCGGCCCTGGGACGTCGCAGGATCGAAATCTGCCACCTGTCATTCGCCCGGATCAAAACACCAATCGGTAGTTTAGGGTTTAGGGGTTTAAGGATCTCAATCCCTACAGTAAACCCTAACCCCCAAACTAATGGGGACTCGGGGAATTAGGGTTTGTAGATTCTCCATGAAGATTGGGGTAAGAAGCCTTGTTCACGCGTCATTGCGCAGTGTGAAGACAAATCTTGTGCCTCCGGCTTGCCTTTTTCTGCAGAGTGCAAGGCCCTAAACCCTAAAGGGTTTAGGGTTTAGGGCTTAAGGTTTAGGAAACCCTGAACCCGAAACCCCATACAGCTATTGTGAGTCGCATTTTCTGCCTGTTCTCCGCGTCGGCGTGGTGCCAGACGTAGGTCAAGAGTCTGGGTCTGTGCAAGTTTGGGACTACCGTGGTGTCGACGAATTAAGGCGTGTACTTATCCCGCTGGGGATGCCTCCACAAATAGCAGGAGAGCTCTAGCCTTAAAATAAGCTCTAAACCCTAAACCTCAAAGACAGTACTGTAGCATGTGTTGGAGGCATGAATCAAAATCCTGCAGCATGAAGCCACAGCACTTGCAATACATAAGGCTTGAAAGAGCTGAGAACACATCCGAGTGCTTTGAAAGGGCGGCCAAATTACCCCGCAGCAAGGGAGTTCCCACCTTTGGCTCTAACGGTCCCATCTTTCCAGAGAGTTGCCCTGAGTGGCAGCTATGCTGATGGTACCGCCCTGTACAAGCCCTGGTGTCTTTCAAAGGTGTGGCCACGCAACCATGGCCGCAACACCCCCTGCTGGGCAGGTCAAGTCCTCACAACCTGGCCCACGAAAATTGTTCGCCCATTCAGAGAAAGCCGTGCACTGTTGAGGGCCACATAGGACCACACAAGCCGTGCCCGTCCCCCCCTAAAGTCTAAAAGTTTTTGTCAACTCTAAAATTCTTGCAAGCTGTCAGGAAATCCTCGTAGACGATCTTGCATCCAGGGTAGTCCTCCATCATCCGCTCGGGGTGGAACTGCAAACCGACGATGAAGCGCCCCTGCGACGGATTGTAGCGCGAGTCGTAGAATCCCTCAAGTATGCCATCAGGGGCATAGGCCATTGGCTTCAAGCCCTTTCCCAAGGTTTTGATGCCTTGGTGGTGGTAAGAGTTCACACTGAGCTCATCCGTGTCAACAAGTGACTTCGCGAACCAGGATGCAAGCGGGGTGTCTGGCAAGACTCCTCGGTTGGCCAACATATAAAACACACCTCTGAAAGATACTCTTATAAGTATATGTTATGGCTTAGGAACTGGTAACTGATCCTCTCAAATGCCCCCAAAAGGGAGAAACATAAAACGATTCAAAGGTCCTACCTAGACTCGGATCGGATGACGGTGGCTGTCGTAGGTTGGATCACTCGCATCCTTAAGGTGTACCAATGCATCCGGAACTTCCGTCTCAATGTCGCCGATCAGTGTCCCGCCTCTGAGCACGTTGAGCATCTGCGAGCCACGGCACAGGGAAAGGATAGGACAACCAGAGCCAAGGGCCAGGCGCATCAGCGCGAACTCGAGCTCATCCTTGGAGACATCGAACTCAGTATCGCTGGCCCACTTCATGGCGTCTTCTCCGTCCAGGCGGTCGGGCGCGCAGCAGCCATACTTGCTGAGGATCTCGTCGGAGATGTCGTTGCCCTCTACAACGAGCAAGCCATCCATTGGCAAGTACTCGGCAAGCGCGGGTACCGTCAGTGCAGTTCGGGGGATCATGATGGCGGCACCTCCGTTCTCCTTGGTAGCCCAGCCATATTGCAAAATGAGGGTACCCTTTTGGGGTTTGGTTGCTTTAGACTTTACTAGAATCTAGAAAGAACAAGAAAGGGACAAAAGGGTACCACTGGGCTACCAAGTCTCTTGGATCAGGTCTAGGTGGTACTCGCCCAGGAAGTCGACATACTTTCCCTTGCGAAGGTGCCGACGCGTGACGCACAGCACTCGCGCTGGTGCATTCCAAGCCACCGGGAGGACCCGTGTGAGCTTGTAGCGTTGTAGCTCGGATCGTTTCGGGAGTCGCTTCTTTGTCTTAGACAGGGCCTTCAGGGCCATCCTAGGCGGGGACGGTCCTTCATCAGTTGCATCACTGTCATCTCCCGACCGAGCTACATGGCACAAGGACGAGTACATCTTGCCATGCTCGTGGTCCTCATCCGTGTCAATGTCCCTTTCCTCCAGGCCCACAATTTCAAAGTGGGGATCCACCTCATCATCGCTTGGAATCTGCCTCCGCGTGTAGATGCAGGAGTCGGAGGAAACGCGTGCGTAACCTTGAGCCCCGCCGTGTGCCATGTGTGCCATTGGATCGGACTAAGGGAGGCTACCTCAATCGACCTCACAAATGTGCGCCGTTTCCTGAACCAAACAGCTACAGGTGCCAAAATTGCATCTGGGAGTCGCTTGTGACTGGGTTGTTTCCGGAGGTTGCTCACCGGCTATCACGGGGTGTCACGGGCTCCTGGTGTGAGGCTCAGAATTGCAGAGCATTTGCACCTATTGGCAGGTTTTGTTGGAGGGAAAAAGGCCCTTTGGCCTTGATGCTATGCCCTGCTAGGCCCTGAGAGACATGTACCACGAGATCTTGGCCTCGTCAACTTCGGCCATCCATAAGCTACAGGACAAGCCGCGAGGCACGAGGCGAACGGAATAAGCTGCGTATGTATACTGCTCTACTAGGCGGTATCCATGTGGTGTCCCAACGTGGTAAGGGTATGCGGATTTCTCGGACGGTTCTCGCAGCTCTGCCAAACTACTTGAAGGTGAAAGCTGTCGCGCAGCAAGAGGCAAGATGAGGCTACCTCGGCAAGTGAAGAGTCGGCACCACAAATCAACGTCAAGGGCTCTGAAACCTTTTTGCTTTAGAGGCCTGGCGCCCGCTTCCACTGTCGTGGTCGGACATGAGGCAAGCAATGGTAGCCATGGCAGCCTGCTTCAAAGGCATGTCTTCAGGCACATGGTTCACAACATCCCCTTGGGATCATCAGCTCAAGAAGTCGTAGCTTTGGGAACGCTCAGCCTTAGAAGCTCATGACCTGCAGAGCTCACCGGTCAGGAGGCTTTCCTGCTTCCGGTGTGTGCATAAGCGAAGGGGCTGCAGCGCAGCGTGTTTGGCACGGGAGTTGCCAAGACCAGGACTAGTAGGTTCCCGAAATTGGGGCAGATTGGGTTTAGGGTTTAGGGCGCTGCCTAAATTGGGGGGTACTTGTTCATTAGAACGTACCTGGCTCGTGCTTAGGGTGCCCAACAACCGATGATCGACCGTCTGTCCCAGTCTCGGCAAGCCCGGAGCCAGACTTGTGCATTTACCAACATTGCAGGGCATCACACCTGTGACCAAAGGGAAACTGGTGCGAATTTCAAGAACTGTCCCATGTCTCGGGGATTTTGGGTGTTGGCCCTTTTCTGTGCATGACTCCAGCGATCCTAGAGTGTGCACGCAGAAGGTTCCTGGCTGCATGTACCTCGAAACTCATTCAATCGACATGGCCTCCGACATAACTCTGAACACGTGAAGTTGTGATGTCCTGGTATGACAGAACCATGCACGGAGCCACGCAGGGTGGCTGAGAGGTTCATGCATGCCAAAGAGATCCATTTGCTGTTCGCGCCCTCTCACCGGATCTTGCACCTGGGTGTGTTGAGGGCACATGAGACAGCCCGACATACGAGGAGCCTCTGAGCCAGCGGCCAATTTCTATGTCCACAACACCACATCCTGCAGGCTTCGGAATGTCAGCCAAGTGCCGTGATGCCATGATCATGACAAGTAGCACGAGGCGACTGCTTCTTGCCAGTGCCAGTAGTCTCCCCCCCTACTGTTGAGCATTCCATACGTGTATACTGTCTGTATACACACTCACAACGAAACACCCATAACAATGAAACACTATAACGAAAGCTTTGAACATTAGAGTGGGCGGGGGAGGGTGTTAATATTGAGGGCCGAAGGACAACTCGAGACAGGATCTGTCCTGGGGGCTAGCAGCAGCCGAGAGCTGGAGAACAGGCTGCTGGTCGATATGCCGAAAGTAGCCCTGGCAGGTTGTTTTGGAGGCCGATGGCTCTACATCGCGTTACGATGGAGGAGCCCTTTCGGCCCAAAACCCCAGGGACTATCGAAGGCAGAGCACATCATCAGCGCTCAGCCAAACCTTAACCCATTCGCTGCAAATCTGCGAGTGTGCAGATTCTCGGGTTCTTTAAGATCGGGGTTCAAGGGGTATGCAACCCAAGGTTCCCTAGTACTCCCCATTGCTCCCTAAGGCTCCCTAACGTTCTCAAGTTACCTTCCCCCCATGAGTCCCTTAAGGGCCCTAAAAAAAAACAGAGGCCAGGAAATCTACGACCTGCCTCCCGGAAACGGCACCAAACTGGAACTGAGGCGCCGCGACAGGTTCAGGAGGAAGGTGCAGTATAACTCCCCCTAAAAACCCTAAGCCGCGAAGCCCCCAAAGCCCTACACCCCTGAATCCCTAAACCCATACGCCACCAAACCCCGAAACCCCTTTTGTAGCAACCCTAAATCACTGGCTCTTAGAAGTGACTGAGGGAATGAGGTACCCTTTAGATAACCCCTTATAGGGTCTGTACATATACATACATATATAGATACATTCCTTACGTATGTATACCTGCTGGGGGGGTACACGGTACCTCATTCCCTCATGAAGAGCCAGTAAGTAAACCCCAAACCCCTTAAACCTTCCTAAACCCTAAACCCTACACCCTAAACCCTAACCCCCACCCCCCCCCCCCACCTTTAAAAAGCAAGGCTGAGCTCTCATTTAGCGTGAGAAGAGCACAGCAAGGGCGGGCCTTCAGGTTCAGCAAGATATTGCTCACCAGTTGCTGGAACCTAGGAGTTGGTATTGTGGGTGGGGCTTAGGGCTTAGGGCTTAGGGCTTAGGGCTTAGGGCTCTGGGCTTTGGGTTTAGGGTCGGGTTCCGGCCCGGTTTCTGCTGCCACCACCAGGTCTCGAGGCCCATAGAACGGCCTTCACGAGAGTCTTACAGTCACTGTGCGAGCTGTGGGCAGCCAAGTCATGGTGCGCTTGTGAGGTTCCTGATACAACACGAAGCCCCATGCTCTGGCTTTAGGGTTTACCCTATCCCGCCTATACCCTAAACCCTAAACCCTGTTAGTGTGTAGGGTACTGGTCATCTCAGCTGCGCACTGGTACACGCCGATGTGGAAGTGGCCCTGTGCCAGAGCTTTCAAGAATGCCCAGCCTCAGCAGAACCACAATGGGAGGGGGATTACCATGGCAGTGGGGCGGAGGGGGAGGGGAGGAGGGGGGAGAGGAGGGGAGGAGGGGGGGGGGGGCAGGGGGGTTTCACCCACTTCCTAAACACTTTTGCTTCCAGGCCTGGGAAGTCGGTCCAGAAAAGTGTCTAAGCCCCAAAAACCGCTACAATTCGTAACTCACGCAGGCAGACTGTCCATGTCCCAAAGCCATGTCGCCAAGCAACAGCAGTCCTGGCTTCACTTAGAGGGTTATCCCAAAACTCGGAAGCTGTTCAGGATTTTGAGTTAAATTGTCGAAGTAAGGCGAGGCTAGATGGCTAATAGCAAAGTCTGGTTCCTCAAATACCCTGTTTTGGCACGCCCGCGAAACTTTAACAAACATGTTTACTCTACTCATCAAGGTAAACCGAAAGCGTCACTGGGCATCCATACTCCCTCCACGCAACCCTGGCACTCCCTGAAGCTGCGCACGAAAGCAATCCATCCAAACAAGCAAGCTCTAAACCCTAAACCCCGAACCTTAATGCTAATATCTTAAGCCCGTTTTCCCCTCATACCCGAAACTGAACGCCTTAAACCCTAAACCCTAAACCCTAAAAGCCGCAGGACTCATCTGAGACCAGAGCTGAAGGCCCCCTGCACGGTCCCCTCAATCGGGAACTCAGCACACCACTCCTTGAGCCTGGCTAGGGGTGTAGGGTTTAGGGTGTAGGGTCATGGTGTAGTTGCAGTACCTTCCTATGGGCCCGTAAATGGGGCCCCCTTTTCTACCCGTTAAATACCCTGTGCAACCCAGACGCCTATACTTCAGAACCCCTTAAAGCGGGTAAGGGACCATAGGAAGGGACCATTTAACTTCCCGATAGGCGAACAAAGGCAAGTCTTAAGGTTTACGGCGTAAGGCAATTTATCGCCTGGGGGGATGTGTGAAGGAAGCTTGGCACTGCTTCAAGTCGTGCTTGATGAGGCCGCTTGCTACCGGCCGCTTTCAGAAACCCCTCGTTTGGGATGGCGCGTCGCGGTTGACTGATGAAGTCGCGACCTTGCCTTCGCGGTGGAGTTCTTCTGCGCAGTGAGGCCACAAGCTCCAAACCCAAAACCAGTTCACAGACTCCTGCGTTGACAAAATAGAGCCGCGAAAAGGAACGCGAATCCAGGCACTTCTGGCCCATAGAACCCTAAACCCTAAACCCTAAACCCTAAAAGATTCCAAGTCACCCCCCTAGGAACTTCGCCCTTCCAGCTTTGGATATAACTGCGCGGATCCCTGCCTGCAGCCGGAGAAGCAATGGAGCCTAGGCCAGTTGCTTAATCTGGTCCCCATATGCAGAAATATTATTAGGCAAATATACAAATATACCTTATACATGTATATGCATATGCCTACATGTTTCTATCTCTTTATCGGTCTTATAGTCAAAGTTAATTTTCTTGGGGGGCCCCCCCCCCCCCCTCCAAACAACAAAAAAAACAAAAAAAAGGACGAGGAGTTGAGATCAGGTACGTGTTGCAGAGATCAATCGGGTTCTTGGGAGGTTTAGGGGCTTCGTGCTTGCAAGGCACCCCCTTAACTGCCACAACTTGGGGATGTTTGCCCACTAGCAGTCCTTAAAAGGGATTATAGTACCCCCTATTCTTATCCCTCTTAAGGACTGCTAGTATAAGGGGGGGCATCCCAAGCCACATCAAGCCATGAAACCCGTTTAGGGATTAGGGATGTGCAGCCTCCCTTTTTTTGCATCTGGGCTCACAGCGACAGCCAGGAACGCTGGCATTTCCGAAGCCCCCTTCCCCCCCTTTCACCCCCCCTTTCTTGTGGTTTGGGGTAGATGAGGGGTACCCCTTGGCCGCGGTTCTTTAAGGCAACACTCCCGCTCCATGAGTATTCTGTGTACCCTCACAAGAGGGAAATGCCATGAAGTGCCACTCCGTGGATGAGTTCTGCGGGGATGAAAGGGTGACCTTCGGGCTTTGAGGGGCTCTAGTGTCCAGCCCTAAAACCTAAACCCTCAACCCCAAACCCCTAAAGCCTCACCCATATCCGAAAGGTTCCCTACTCAGGTCTTACTGAGCACCTCCGTGGGTGACCCCAATTGGCTCTATGTAAGCTCACAATTATTTCAAGATCAGCCCGGATAAAAAAAAAAACTCCCAAGGTTATAGGCCCTGACTATCAAGCTTTAGCCGGAGTGTGCAGGGCCAGTAAGCTTAGGCCAGAGCGTGCAGGGCAAGAAGGTGTTGCTTCGGGGCAGGTGCGCTGGCGTGTGCTGCACCTGACAGATTGCAAGCTGGACACTCCCCTCCCGCTTTTTGCTGTGAAGTGAAACCCCCCATGCCAACCCCCCAACCCCCTAAACTCTTTCGATTCTCGGACGCCCCGATCCTGAAAAAAATCCAGACACCCTAGACCAGACTTATCCCTAAACCCTAAACCCTAAACCCTAAACCCTAAACCCTAAACCAGACTGTCAGTCCCAGACGGCCCAAAGCCCTGAACCTCTCGCGCTGAGGTCGCTACCGGTATGGGTGGCAGCTCGAGAAAGCGCGGGCGACCTTGCTGTGAAGACCAGGTAGGGGGGTTTAGGGTTTAGGGTTTGGGGTTTAGGGTTTAGGGATTTGGTTCAGCTGGTTTACTGCTGCTTGCTTAAGAACCCCCCCCCCTCCAAAACAAAAATATTCTTCCTCTATCAGGGTGATATATAGGTATCATGGTCTTGCATGTTTCTTTCTGTTATCTTGGTGGGTGGGTGGGGCGGGTTCTGAAATAGGGGGTTGAGGTGGCTGGCTTGGCCCATGCTGGACACAAAGTGTTCCTGGGACTGCAGTTTCACTTAGCTGCTGAGTTCAGAAGCCCCCAAAAAAACTCACACTTTCAGTTCTATAGGGGATTGTAGTATCCTAAAAAAAAGAGTGCTCACTCAGCTACGAAGTTAAGAGATGCCGAGATCGATGCTCATGAAGTCGCGGAGCTTGTCGTACTCAACCCGGCCCCGGTCCACCTGACAGGTTCCCGCTTGCGGCGGTGACCAAACTCATGGCAAGTGCAGTGCGGACTCACAGTCAACTCCTAGCATGCCCCAATAGGTATGCTGAAGGGAATCCCAGCTCCAATCATCCTTAAACCATGTCACAACTTTTTGGAGTTTACGAAAATAGGGACCCCTAACATAGGCCCCAAATAAGAATATTCCCTTATAAAACTGACCCTAGTTTGGGTACCCCTAGTTTCGGAAAACCCAATGTTCCAACTTTCTGGAGTTTACTGTAGGCACTTGGGAACTTTTCAAGTAGGCACTCAACCAACACGCCCAGCCTTCCGGAAAGTGGCCGGAGAGTTACTCTCTGGGCCTGCCTCAGAGGAGTCTTCTTTGAGCGCGGGAAGCATGATATGGTTTGGGGTTTGGGGTTTGGGGTTCGGGGTTCGGGGTTCGGGGTTTGGGGTTCAAAATTTTCGGTTGACATAGAATAACTCACTGCGAAGTAGCTGAAAGACCTGCCTTTCGGATCTGGTTGCTGACTGCTGCTGAAGCTAAGCATTTTCAGGCAGTTGTGCGCAACCTGCCGCTTTAGGGCGCACAAAGGATTCGCCATGTCTCGCCGAGGTGCGCCGGGGAGTATGGCGTAGCAGGCATCTAAGACCAGAGACACCCGGCACCTGGCTCAAGAACAGGCCTGGGAGGCCCAAAGAGTCCGAGGAAGGACCAGGAAGATCTACGGTTTAGGGTTTAGGGTTAGAAGGGCCTCTTCGGCAGCTGGCTCAGGAAGTCGTGCACCTGACAGTCTATAAGTGTTTGCTTTGGCACCCGCATAGCTGGACGAACCCCCAGGGATGCCAGCAACGGTACATGCGTCAGATGGTTTTAGAGTCTAGGGTTGTAGGGATTAGGGTTGAAGGTTGGGGTTCGCCAAGACATCTAGCTGCCCGAGGATCGCCTGCACACCAAAGGCACCATGATCTTCGGCCTTGAGCACGCGTAAACCCTAAACCCCTAAACCCTAAACCCTGAGACCTCGGATGTCCAGCCTCCAGCATGGAGATCAGCCGGTAGCTGGCTTTGGAGTTTCCCAGCGCCTCGCGTCGCAGAATCGGACCCTGAGGTTCCTCACCTTCTTCGAACTTCTTCGTTTAGGGTTTCGGGTTTAGGGCTTAGGGCTTAGGTTCTTTGAAGATGCGTAGGAAGCCGCCACCCGTTCGCCACCCCGCACTCTGCTCCCATCAATGGACGTGTTGCGGGACTTGGCTGCAGCCGGACCTCCGATAGACATATGCTACGTAGGCCTTGGCCCTTTTGACCCTATCAACCCTGAAAAACCCTAAAAACCCTACAACCCTAAAGACCCCCCCCAAAAACAATAAAAACCCTAAACCTAAAAACCCTAAACCTCAAACCCAAAGCCCTGACAACCCTAAACCCCCCAAGAGAAGCACCTTCTGTGCAGCGGCCGTCTGCCTTTGGAGCTCCTCTGGGCCACCTTTGGAGGTTTAGGGTTTAGGGTTGAGGGTTTAGGGTTTAGGGTTTAGGGTTGAGAGATCATGGCGCCTGTTCTTGTCACCCGCCTACTGAAGGGGGTCGTGATGATTACTTGGGTTTTATATAAACAAAATTTTCCAAAAATAATTCCCCAGGGGGATATAGATATTAGACAACTCGCCACGCTGCAGAGTGGGACTTTAGGACTGGACCTGGCGCAGCGCCGACCGCCATCTTGGCAGTTTGGTCGATGACCTCCGCACATGGGAGCCTACGCCCTGCAGGGTCGGGGTTCAGGGTTCAGGGTTCAGGGTTTAGGGTAGACCCCCCAAATAGTATCACCCCCCATAAGATCCCCAATAAGGCACCCCCAATTTCGGAAACCTCCACACATGGGGATGATCCCACAACTGAGAGGCACGCAAGGTCTACCAGACGGGGTGCCAAGGGCCCAACATGCACATCACCTGATCCCTGCTTACATGCCCACGTGGACCTAAGCAATCTGTTGGGCCACGAACCCCAAGGTTGGTCCAAGGTCACCAGCTGTCACCCGCTGACACGGACGGCAGGTGTATGGAGTTTCTATGCACCGAGATGAGTTCGACACTCAATTGCGATGACTTCGGGCTCCTCTGCTCAAAAAGACAATCTCAGCCGGAGACATTTGCTGGCGCCGGACCGGGGGCTGCAGCTACCACCTGCAGAACTGCACTCTACACAAGCTACAAGCTGGAGAGCCGGCTGGGGTGCATCGAGACCCTGAAGCCGTAAATACGCCGTGCGCGCCTTTGAGTTTCCAGCGTTTTGAAGTATAAATCGTTTAAACTTGCAGACAGCCAGGCTCCCAGCCTCGAAGAAATTGCTCGGCAAATCCGCAGCAAAGTCCGAGGGAACCAAGTAGCTCTGGCAAGCGGCAGGGTTTTAGGATTTTAGGGTTTAGGGTTGAGGGGTAAAATGTGTGAAGAAGCAGCAACCGCACCTCGAACTTGTCAGAGCCCGCTGTGCGTGGATGCTGGGCGCCATAACCGCAGAAGACTAGAAGCAGGTGGTCCCCTAAGTTGCAGCAGACACTTGGTTCAATGGAACCGAACACTGGACGAGGATTTCTTCAGAGGAACCCCTTGCGCGACAAGAAGCGCGGCACCACAATAAACCCTAAACCCTAAACCCTAGTGTCCGCCAGTGACGGAAAGGTTACAAGGCCAAGTCCGGAACCGGGTCGGGCGTCCGCAACTAGCCACTGAAGTCCGGCCTGAGACCACCATGAAGGAAGCCATGAACCCTCGAGATCCTTCAACCCTAAGCCCTGTTCCCCTTAGTTTAGGGTTTAGGGTTTAGGGTTTAGGGTTCTAAGCCCCGGCTTGTAGGTGACTTTCATCAAGCCGAATCTGAGCCCGCACTACTTCAACAATCACATCCGCGTCTTGGTGCTGCACTCTTGAGCCGTGCCATGTACGTATGCCTGACAACATGAACTGCATGCAACACGACCCCAGCAGGGCCCTGGCAAGGATGTTGGCCTGGGCATACTGCACAGACAGATTGGGATGTCCCCCCTTTTTTCTAACAGTCCTTAAACGGGATTGCAATTGGGGGGGGGTACTAGAATCCCTATTAAGGACTGTTAGTGTCAGGGGGAACATCCCAACGGACAGATCTAGAATCTAGACCGCTCAGGTCTTGGGAATGGATGCATCAACCGGTAGAGTGGCATCGTAGTCCAGGCACCATGGACCCTAAACCCTAAACCCTAAAACCTCTAAGCCTAAACCCCAAACCCTAAACCCGAAACCCCAAGTCGTCAGGCCGAGCTCTTTGCCTTCGTCGGGGCTTTGTCTGGCCTCCCGGTCCAAATCAACGAGGAACTTAACCTAGAACTGTTTTCTCCACTTCCTTACGCGACAGCTGAAGCACTTGCCACATCTCCAGTCCTCTCCGCGCCTACTTCTGAGGGTGGGGGCAAAACTGGGATTCTTAGGCCTAACTCGCTACCTCAATCGTTGCCTGAGGAGTCACTCCACACTTCCGTAATACTTGAACGTCTCTCCCTTTTTAGGTCTGACGCCACGAAGGGCCTGGGCCTTTAGCGGGCCTTTGCATCACGGGCTTCCCTACCACCCCCCTCTATACTGCCCCTCTGCAGGTGCCCCCCTCAAACCCTTCTCACTACATAGCCCGAAAAAATAGGGGGAACCTGGGGGGGGGGGGGGTAGTAGGGGAACTCCTAATTGAATAGACAAGCGTTGCGTTTCATCCGCTTGGAATTTGAGACCCAATCAACCGTGGGGGCCGTTTTGAGGCCCACTATGGACACTGGACCCTGTTAGAAAATCCTAGGGACATCAAGGACATCCGCAGCACACATGGCTCGGGTTATCCACAAAAAAAGGACCCCTGACCTTCTATGGACCCCCTATGCACCTATAAATGCCTATAAACCCGTAACCTGACTCGTCTGCACGTCAAGCCGGCTCGGTTGAGGCCGGCGACACGCAGCGCCCCTTGCTCGATTACATGATGTGAGCCAGATCCCCCGCGTCCTGACTCTCCCATCGGCGCCATCAGCCAGCAGCTGCAGCTGCTCGGGAGCATACCTGTGAAGAATTGCATGGATGGTGCGTTCTTGTCTTTCATCAGCTCTGCATCCCACACCCGCCCCCAAATCTACCTGGTGCTCACACTTGCGGTCAATTCTGCCAGGAGGGGGGCACCGAAGGGTGTACCGCAGCAAGCACTGCATGTTCCACACGTCGTTGACGCAGCCCTGCGAACTCTGAGCAGTCGTCTACTTCGACTCCTGTAGGACCCTAAAACATTAGAACAGGGTTTTGGGGGGTTATTATAGTATAGTTATACAGGGACCACAGGGGGATATTCTTAGTACTTATTCCGACCCTTCCATACTCGTGAGCTAAGAACTCACACCACAAAGCTGCCACATGCTACTATTTGCTTAAAAGCCCCCAAAAAAAACACAAAGTGATATTCCTTACAAGGGCAATATAGGGATGATTATTTTACAATTTTTATGGGGTTCTTAAGCGAATAGCAGCATTACTCCCTCGAGGCCTTCAGCGGAGCGTGGGAGTTCAAATAGTTCACTCCGATGAGAAGGGCCTTCCTTCTATCGTGGTTGCCTCGGAGCCGCCCGGAATGTGAGGAGCTGCGGTTTAGGGTTTAGGGTTTAGGGTTTAGGGTTTAGGCAAGCAGCACAGCAACGGCCCCAGGACACAAACTGCTTGTGTCTTCACCATCATATGAAGTAGGGTATATAGTTCTTGTACCCCCAAAAGGACACCAGGTACATACACTCAACAATATTAACAAGGAACCTTATATACACACACACTCCAAAAACAGTAATATAAACCCTGTTTCATATGTAGAGGTGATGACGCTAGGTTGGTCCTCAACCCCCCGGCAAAACATCCCTAGCTTTCACCCAAGCAGAGCGGAAAAATCATATGCCCCAAGGGCCTACCCAGTTGTGATGACATCAGCTCCCCTGAGCCCTAAACCCTAAACCCTAAAATGATAAACCCTAAGCCCTAAATTACAAACCCTAAACCCTAAACCCTAAACCCTAAACCCTAAACCCTAAACCCTAAACCCTAAACCCTAAACCCTAAACCCTAAACCCCCAACTACATAGCCTAAACTCCATTTCTGAGCCTCGGGCTGGGAAGTGGTCTCTGAAAGATGACAAGCCCCGGGAGAGCCTCGGCTGCTCGTTGAACACTTTGATGAGGGTTTAGGGTTTAGGGGTTTGGGGTTTAGGGTTTAGGGTTTAGGGTTTAGGGTTTAGGGTTTAGGGTTTAGGGTTTAGGCTTCGGGCTTAGACTCCGAGGGGGCACAAGCGTCGTAGAAATGAGGAGATTCTGAGATGGAGGCAGTTGGCGATGTTGGAGCGGCGTTTTTCCTCACAGCTCAGATCCAGGGACCCTGAAGGGTTGTAATCTTGGGTTTTGGGGTCCCGTTTTAAGAATCCCTCTAGGGGAATTTAAGGGCCATATTGGGAGTACATTAAGGGGAACTTTTTGGGGTACAACCTTGGGGGTACGAGTCTTCATCCCTTGATCAGAAGAGGTTCTGCAACCAAAATGGATGCGAACATGCCAGGGTGCCAAGATTGCTTTCATTGCTTTGTTATCTGCAGTTTCCAGATGTTGACTGTGTGCAACATATGTAAATATATACATATACATGTATGTGTGTGTGTCTCCATGTACGTAAAAAATTTGTCCTTGCAACTTTATTCTACATTTTACCTCTCTCTCTCTCTTGCAAGATGTTTATACCCTAAACCCTAAACCCTTGTACCACCCATCTCTTGCCGAGAAAGTGAGGTAGTAGTCGCGCTTCCGGATTGACACGTCTGTTCTGGGGAGCTGATGAGGGCAGGAATCGTCATGTAATTCCGCTCCTGGTTCCTGAGCGGCACTTTGAGGAGCCCTAAGCCCTAAACCCTAAACTCCTTTACGTTAATTCTTGAAGTCTTAAAGGCTGGGACAGTCCATCTTCGTGGGGTCCGCACAGGCTCTGGCTGTCATTGAGATTCTGGTGTTGCTAGGATCTGCAGCTCTAACCCTAAACCCTAAACCCTAAACCCTAAACCCTAGACTTCCTCAGCCCGAAAATTTCAACCCTGACCCCAGCCGTCCTTCGCGACTTCTCCTCCTCCCAGGATTTGGCCTCCGGGACCATGACGACTGTGGGATGCGCAAAGTTAAGGGCTTAGGGTTTGGGCTTGTGTCTACAGGGGTTTAGGGTTTAGGGCCTTAACCCGAAACCCTAAACCCTAAACCCCAGGGTCTAGGGCTTGGTGTTTTGGGAGTTGAGATTTCAGTTCATTTGGGGGTCCCTTTTGTCAGGAATGAGGGTTTAGGGTTTAGGGTTTGCTATGGCTTGACATGTGAAGCTGTAACCTTTCATGAAAGGGTGGTTGGGGGGTGCAGGTAAACCCTAAACCCTAAACCCTAAACCCTAAACCCTAAACCCTAAACCCTAAACCCTAAAGACCATGCCTTTTCCTTTCCTTCTCGGGGCGCTGCGCATCTGTCGCACTGGATGATCTCCCTCTGCAACTTGTCGATGCGCTGGTGCAAGGTCCTTCTCTTGGTAGCCCAGTAGCCATACTTGCCATACTTTAATCAGGGCACCCTTTTTGGGGTTGGTTCTTTTATAAGGGAACCCATAACCAAAAAAAGGGGAAAGGGTACCACTGGACTACCAAGTTTTGCAAGAGGTGGCGAAGCTTATCGCTAAGCTGCATGCGGTTTAGAGCTTAGGTCTGAGGCACCCGCTGCACCGTGACCTCATGCTGCTGATATTGCCTCAGGCGAATCGGTGGTACCCCCGTAGGAACGGAAGCTGTCGTGGCGAAGCATGTTTCTGTCCCCTAGACCCGAAATGCCCCACCTGGTCACCTCGCCAGTCTTCTGCCGCCGCACTTGCTCTGTCTGGCGCTTCCACCTGCTTAATTAGGGGGAGGAGGGAATGGGCTGGCGGTTTCCAGACGGGTTATGACTTACGTGGTGCAGTTGCAAACATGCACCATACATACGCGCACACACACACACAGACGCGCATATACACATATACACATATACACATATACACATATACACATATACACATATACACATACATATACATATACATATATATATATATATGTATATATATATATGTGTATATATATATATATGTATATGTATGTGTGTGTATGTATGTATGTATGTATGTATGTATGTATGTATGTATGTATGTATGTATGTATGTATGTATGTATACATGCATAATATATATATATATATATATGCATACATATGTATGTATGTATGCATGTATGTGTGTATGTATGTGTATGTATGTATGTATGTATGTATGTATGTATAGATAAATAGAGGAAGTTCGAGCGTGACGGGCGAAAAATCAGATTGCATCAACGACATCCATAGCAGCACAAACAGCTGCAGAATCCCCGAGGCGGACGGGCGGGCCGCTGTTTGCTTATGATTTGGAAGCTTCGTGCTATGGGCTTCTATCTGTCAGACTTCTGAGGGCAACACTGCTCAATCTCAGCCGCATAACGGGTGACCTCGCGTGCAACCTGCACGGGCAGAACAAAGCGAAGATTTGCTTTTGCAGGCTCACCCCTGTCGGCTTCGGGACTTTACGCTTTTGTGATGGCTTTGCCAGCAAGTCTTGTCTTGATGCTTAGCTTGCCTGAGAATGGCTCTCCTGGTAACTGGAATTCGAAACAAGAACTACTACTGATCGAATGGAAATCGTGAAACAAGGAGGGTATTCCTCCATTGATTACATTTATTGGCTGTAGAGGGCTCATTCTTGGTAGTTCGACGTCAGGCACCAGACTCTGCATGCTTTGCATCCAAGTCTCCCAACAAAGCCCTCATGTCTCCCCCCTCGGGCACGAGGCTCACTGCCGCTGCTGCCATCGCTGCGGGCATGGGACGCCGCACAGGCTTCGGAGGCTCCTCATGCTCCACATAGCTTGAGGGTGAAGGCTTGCTGGGGGGCTGTGACTGGCCTCGTCCCAGTAATCTCGGGCTTCCATGCGCCTTGACGGAAGCGTAGCTCAAGGATGTGCCCTCTTCTCGGTCTACAGAAGGGAGCACAACAGATTTCTGCTCAGCTGCATCCTTTGGCTTCGTGACCTCCATGGGATGACTAGGAGGTGCAGAAAGCGGGGGCAGTGAGGAGCTGGCCCGCTTGCCCCGGACCGGGGCGTAGGTCTTCCTCTGCTCTGCCTGCACTGCCTGCATCCTCTTCCGGAAAGTTTCCGGTGTCGTGGAGGCAGTGGAGGCGGAAGCAAAGGATGTATTGGAGGTTTCAATCGGGCCACGGGGTGTATGAAACACACTGGGAGGCTTTCGGGGACTGCGTCCTCGCGGCAATTTCCGGGGTGCAGCTCTCGAGGTTTCCTCCAATCGCTCCAGTGACGGCGGCTTTCTGTGGGGCGCCCACTGCTCCCCACGTCGAGGCTGAGCCGGCTGGGCCGGCTGGGCTTCACCCGTCTGTGCCTGCACTTCGGGGCCCCTCTTTGCGGGCACCTTGTCGTCTGCCCAGGCATGGAGGGGTCGACTCGTGCCCCTGACAGGACAAAGCAATGCAAAGTGCCACAAGGCATATCTGCTTAGGGCTTAGGATGGTCTAGTGCTTCTAGGGTCTTAGGGTTTAGGATGGTTTTTTGGTTGCCGCCCGCCCTTGCTGCTTATATGGCTTCGGGTCTAAGGCTTAGCATGGTTTAGGGTTTTGAAACGCTCCCCCGGGCTTTCCATCTTACAGGCCCATTGCAGGCCTCACTGGAGCGCTCGGATCCCCTGCTTTACTGGGCACCACGAAGGATGTTCGGCGTATCCGCTGTGACTGGCCAGGCTTGCCCACCAGCTGGTCGTAGCCTTGGAACACCAAGACGGCTTTGCGGCACTGAAAGAAACTATGACATGCAAGAAACCTTCCTAAACCCTGAACCCTGAACCCTTTTTGCCACTGGACTGAAAGGCTAGCCAGAATCCAAGAACGAGAAACACCAGCAGGCTCAAGCAACCGCCAAGTGTTGAACACCAGGCAGCCGCTCACTCGGAACATGTTCGTACAGTTAAGGAGCTGGAAACACTGTGTAGACTGACAGTTGACCTGCAACGACTCTGCCTTTACCGCGTGCTCAGCACAACTGCAGGTCGCTGCCTACGAAGAACTGAAATCGGCACCCACATGACTAACTCGACTGAACCCTGAACCCTGAACCCTAAACCCTAAACCCTAAAAGCAGAAGCCAGCATACAAAACCCTCACTGATGAAGCGCCCCAACCCTGCTCATCTAGTCACCAGGAAGCAGTTCTGGCACAAGTCGTGCTGGCAGAGACTGCAGTGAAAGCGCCCAAGATCCGGAGTACGAGAGCTCCCATAGCAACCCCCGGCATCACAGTGCCATTCGATGTACTCGACCTCCAGGGAAGCTGGGGTGTTTGAGGGCGCCATTTAATGCCTTTTTTTGATATTGAATCGGCATGGCGATACCAGCGGCCATTCAGTTTATTCTTCAACTCAACCTCAATGTAGATACTCGACCAAGCTCTTGAAATCCGCTACACGGATCCTTGTGATCTTACAAGTCCTGAACCCCAAAACCAATAAGGGACACCTGTATGGGATCCTCTGGGAATACCTAAGAGATAAGGCCGGGCAGGAGACTTCAGGGGCAGCTCCACACCCCCAGACGGGGCTGAGACATCAACCACGAGGATATCTGTTTGGGGTGTACGGTTTGTTGCAGCTTCAGAGATTTTGAGGGCAACATCTTTACATTACCTGAGACAAAGAATAAGAACAGCAATGAATGGGACGAGGTCTGTCCACCACGGCATTGGGGAATCCAGTTTCCTACACAAAGCCACAAAGCCGAGAAAACCGCACAGGTGAAGCAACTCAGGCAACTCCAACTGCCTACCTGGGGTGGGGAACTCGATGAGACTGTCTCTATGTTGGGGTTTAGGGTTTATAGGGTTCAGGGTGGGTTTAGGGTTTAGGGTTTAGAGGGTTCATGGTTTCTAGGAAACGGTCTGCTTGTAGGGATAAGGGTTGGGCTTGCTTAAGAAACAGTCTGGATTCTACGGCCACACTGCGTTGCAAGGCCATCAAATGTCCTGCTGCTGCTTCTCGCTACGATTGTGATTCTCGTTGGTGTTCTTATTGTCTTGTGACTGTTATTACAACTACCAATATACTGCTGTTCTTGCGGTTGCATGACTAGGATCACCGCTTGCGTTACTGCTGCGTCTAAATCATTTTGCCAAAACATGGGTTTAGGGTTTCGACTTTAGGGTTTTGGGTTTACCCTCAACCCTAAACTGTTAATTCTTAGAAGCCCTAGACAGCCCGAGCCCGAACCTGGGGTTGGAGGGTTCGGGGGGATGTTGGGAGGCCTGCTCAGCTGCGGGCGTCGGGCTATGTCCGCTGCCCAAGTCAACCTGGTGCTTGGGGGGGCTGTTGGGGGCTTTGGGGTTTTCGAGCTGTCGAGGATTTCAGCAGAGTTTTTGGGTTTCAGGCTGAGATCCAGCACGAAGACAGATTGAACCTACGCATTCGGGGCTCCGGTTGCAGCTATGATTCAGCCCCCTTAAACCGCTGGAACCCTAAACTTATAGAGTTCTTAAGGAAGGGGGGTGCTTCCCAAATAATCCCCACTAAACCAGTTGGGGGATCTCTCGAAGACACACTCTTCAGGCCCAGATTCCAGCTCGTGGCCATTGGGGCATGTCCCGGAAGGTCGTAGCCTGCCCATGTTCGAATGGCTCCTTAGTGTGCGCAATACGCGGGGTGGGGGGGAAAGGGGTGGGAGGGCCCTCAACCCCTAACCCCTAAACCCGTTGATCGATGGGAAGACTTGGGGTACTTTCCCCTAAAACCACCCCAAAAAGCCCTCAACCCTAAACCCGAAACCCTCCCAAAAACTAAGTACCCCTACTTTGGAACCACCCCGCCAGGGCGTCTAAGGTGAAGGCATCGCAGACTGGCATGGGTTGCATGATGGTGTTTAGGGCTTAGGGGTTCGGGGTTATGGGGGTTTAGGGGTTGGGGAGCCTTCATAGATCCCCACAACAGCTCAGCTACCCATGAATTCCTTGTGACAACGCCGTGGCAAGGGGTAGAGGGGCTGCCAAGTTTCCGGTGGCAAACGGTATGCATGTCCTGCACAAGCGTCATTAGCTAGAGCAGCGAGCCCATCGCATTATCTTTGAACCCCCTCTCGAATATCAAGCCCCCCAAAACACCCCTTCACAAGTTTCCCAAGGCCGCTTGTGGTTAACGCTTCGGGACTCGACCCCTAAACCCTAAACCTAAACCCTAAACCCTAAACCCTAAACCTAGATTACGCGGTAGACTCCAATCCCCCCCCCCGTTCCTGAACGTCGTCCTCGAGCTGGAACCAAGGGTCTGGTCCTGGAAGGCTTGGCTCGCTGCAGACCTCGGGCTTAGGGTTTGTTAGGGTTTAGGGTTTAGGGTTTAGGGTTTAGGGTTTAGGGTTTAGGGTTTAGGGTTTAGGGTTTAGGGTTTAGGGTTTTTAAGGACTGTGAGTACAAGGGGGAACATCCCAACCTTGAACTCTAAAAACAATCTCTCTGACCCTGAGTTCGCCATTGCTTGGAAAGGCGCGCGCCGTAGGACTCGCGTGGTTTTCCCGCTTGCTTTTCCGGTGCCTGTTGGAGCCACGCTGGACTTCTCGAGACTGTGCTTCTCCTTGGCTCTGCTGATTCAGCAACAGGGTTTAGGGTCTAGGGTTTAGGGTTTAGGGTTTAGGGTTTATAGGGTTTAGGGCCAGTTTAGGGTTTAGGGCTTGTTGAGGTGCATGCTTCTGGCTTGCTGTGGTCTAGGGGCGTCTAGTGTCTACAGCCTCTCTAGGGCTCAGGGTACGAGCATGCCATGTTCAACAAACCCTAAACCCCAAACCCCAAACCCTAAACCCTAAACCCTAAGCCCTAAGCCCTAAGTATAGACTACCTGGGCCGCACACCTTCTTTTTTTGCATCGGGGCCTCTTGTCAGGCTCCTTCTGCACTCCCGAACGTGTGCTACCAGCTTCCATCCCTTTACAACAGTTCTTTAGGGTTTAGGGTTTAGGGTCAACTTGGAGGTTCATGGTACTTGCTAGCCAATTTCAACTGTACCTAGAACCCACTAAGCCCCGTAAGTGCCCCAAGATGGTTCTAAGTGCAGTTCTCATTGGTTGAGAAGTACCATGAACCCCCCAAGTAGCTGTCAACAAGGTTCAGCTGTGGACCTGCAAGACTTTCTCGGAGCCCACCTAAGTCTCCTGCTGACCGCTGTTTGCCTGAACATAGATATTCCGATACTCTTTAGGGTTTAGGGTTTAGGGTTTAGGGTGCAGCCCTATAAGACTGCAGAGGCAGCACTAAAAAAACGTGTCAAATTCAGAATGGCCAGCGTCCAATTCGGCGATCTGCTCTCGCAAAAAGCGGTTCTCCCCCTCCAGGCCGCTACACCTGAGCTGGTGCGTACGAGATTCCTGGGCTCCCCAGGCCCACAAGCCGCCCACAAGCTGGCCCCAGAGGCACAGCTCGCTATGGGCTAGGGCTTAGGGTGATTAGGGTTGAGGGTTTGGCTTTCTGAGGGCTTCTGGGGTTTAGGGTCATTCGGCTTGGGGTGTAGGGTCCGGCTTCCGGGCAAGCGTGGAAGTGGATGCAGTTCCAGGTTCAACAAGGGAGAAGTTCGCGTTTCAAGGACTGGAACACATCCTGCGCGGGAGTTGCCCTAATCCCATACCCTCCCCTTCGGTGTTCAAGCGCCAACATAGCTATGAATATTGAGGGGTAAAGGGGATTTACTTTCAAAGGATTTTTATCAACCACAAACCCCTCAACTTCCCTAACCCTAAACCCGCATCTTCCCTGTGCTATTTTGGGCATTTCCCAGAAAAAGAAGAGCACCCCTCTTATACCCCAAATAGAATAGAATCTCCTTAACGGGACCCCCCAAAAAGGGTACCCTAAATCCTAAACCCTAAACCCGCATTTCGTACAGGGAGAGCCCTGATGCGCTTTGAGTGCCGCAAAGCAGCGCCTGCTGCAGTTGCGAGATCCGAGACTGGAGCTCATCCTGGGTATCGGTGTCTACAGGATGGCCCCCTGATAAAAACTCTCTGAACAAAATATTCCTGAATAAGGTCCTCTTAAAACCCAGTAAGGGTACATGCAAAATATCCCAAGGGCCTACAGTAGGGGTTTTGGTGTTCGTGCGTTTGGGCGGAGCTCGCGGGTTTAAAACGGGAGTTCCTCCTGCGTGCAATCAGGGGCTTGGGCGTGCTAAGGATTTTGAGGTTTTTGCACGGTTTTTGCGCTTGTTCTTGTCGTCTGCCGACTGTGACTGAAGTCGGACTGCTAGCACCGGTCACCAAACCGGACTACTTAAATTCGCCTCGGCCCGCCCCGAATCCTTGGAGAGTCCTCCGCATGGCTGAAATCGAGGCGATTTGTTAGCACGGGTTTAGGGTTTAGGGTTTATAGGGTTTGAGGTTTAGGGTTTACTCGGCGCTGTCTCTGAGTCTGGTTTGCGGTGTAGGGTTTCGGAGCCTGCCGAGAAACAAACGCTTGAGGCGCGCGAGGCAGCGTTTAAGACGAGGCTGCCAGAATTTTTGGGGAGTTCTCGGAATTAGGGTCCCTTTTTGGGATCATTCTTTAAAGGGTGCTTGGGTTCGGCCGGTCCACACTAACAGTCACCACCAGCAGACCCACAAATAAAAGCACCCGGTAAATGCCAAAAAATTGACTGAGATTCCTGCTATTCCTGGTGCTATTCCTGGTGCTATTTCTGGTGCTATTTCTGGTGCATTTTTTTGTGCTATTCCTGGTGCTATTTCTGGTGCTATTTTTTGTGCTATTGTTTGTGCTATTTCTGGTGCTATGTTTTGTGCCATTGTTTGTGCTATTTCTGGTGCTATTTCTGGTGCTGTTGCTGGTGCTATGTGACTAACAATCACCATCAGCAGACCCACAAAAAACAGCACCCGGTAAATGCTAAGCTGCTAAAATTGACTGGGATTCCTGGTGCTATTTCTGGTGCTATTGTTTGTGCTATTTCTGGTGCTATTTTTTGTGCTATTCCCGGCGCTATTTCTGGTGCTATTTTTTGTGCTATTGTTTGTGCTATTTCTGGTGCTATTTCTGCTGCTATGTGACTAACAGTCACCACCAGCAGACCCACAAAAAGAAGCACCCGGTAAATGCCAAAATTGACTGGGATTCCTGGTGCTATTTTTGGCCTGTGTGTTATAAGGCCACGGCGTTATTTGACTGTTAGTGTGGACCGGCCGAACCCAAAAGGGTGCCGCCTTATAATGGGACCCAACATGGGGCCCTAATTTAGGAAACTACCCATATGCCTTACTCAAACCCCCAAAAGCATGTCAAAGAATTGCCCTTTTTATGGGTCCCTGGAAGTATACCTTCAGCAACCCAAACCCCCCCCCCCCCCCCCCTCCCTAAACCCTAAACCCTAAACCCTAAACCCCTTTTTCTTTGCAGCAGGACTCGCCACTGCCTGCCTCGCCCCTTATTCCCCCGCAGCCCAGGACAACCAACGACCCAGCACTGCTGACTGAGGCCCGAGCCTCCTGGGGCAGCTTCAGGGAAGAACTGTTCTGAGAAATTTCCCTAAACCCTAAATCCTAAACAACCCGGTTCTGGACATCGAAGCCAGGGTTTTTGTGGGGCAAAACGCAAAGAGCCGACGCTTTTTTATGGGTTTTCGTCGAGCGGTATTTTACGGGTTTTCCGACGGGCATTTGCGGGTTCTACGTGTCACATTTAGGAATGTTTCAGAAACCCCGTTGCGACCTTTTTCAGGGTTTTGGTCGCCCCAGGTGGGGAAAATCAAGTCAAGTTCGTTCGCGCGAGCGCGCGCTCTCGCGACTACGCAACTGGCCTCGGTTTTGGGGCACCTGGTTGCCGTCATAACGCCCTGTGCCTCCAGGAAATGACCTGAGACCCTTTTCAGCCAGGCCTGTGCAGACAACGCCTCAAGCCCAATATAAGCCCGCAGCCGCCAAGCCCCTAAACTCCTATGCCAGCGTGGCCAAGAAGCAAGAGCCCGGCCGTTGGCACCGGTAGTCACAACGGCTCGGAGATACTCCATCTCCTTGGTTTAGGGGGGGGCTTCGGATTTGGGGTTGATCGATGTCTCTAGGCTTGACAGGGCTTATAAGGGAGCCAAAGCAAGGCCGTGGAAGATGTCCTTGCAAGTCCACGTCGAGATATGAGCCGCAGAACCAACAGCCAAGCCATCCAAAACCCTTCGGTTCATGATGGCCCATGGTTCAATTCATGAATAGGAACCAACTGCAAAGCATCCAAGCTTCTGCCTGCATCTGGGATTGAGCCTCCTTCACGTCTGGCACGTCACACACGTGGGCCTTCATCTGAACGCGCTTCACTCGGTCGGCAAAACGGAGAGTGCAGAGGGTCTGCATCTGGTAGAGCAGGGAGCAGCAGATCGTGCACACCATCAACGTGTAGCTGTTTCCGGACAAGCTGTCGCGGAGAAGCAGCGTCAGCGTCGAATTGCGGTACGGGACGTGGCGTGTCTCCCGTTTCACTGTGCTTGGCTGGGACAGGACCTGCATGCAATTTCCCAGCGTGTGGAGGCTCTTGTTGATGGTTGCAAGCTCTCGCGCATGCTGCGGGGACGGGCATGGCCCTGCAGTGACCCAGCGCTCATTCCCGGCTAGGTCCACCAACCGGACCTTGGATTCCCGGATGACGGCTTTTCGGTTCACCGTCACGCGCTGGCGGATAGTCAAGGTGAGCACGCAGTGGGCTCGAGAAGACTGCTCGTTGAAATTCGTGGCCCGAAAAGCCACGTTGGAAAAGCCAGAGATCAGCTGACACAAACAGTCCTCCAAGTTCACTACGGCCACCTCCGTCAATCCCTCCACATAGACTGGTGCAGATTGAAGCGAGGGTTTGCCTTTCAAGGTTTCCTCCCGAATGCGCAAAGGCTTGGCCAGGTTCGCGGGCTGAAGGAGGTCGTAACACCGCTCCTATACTCCCCTTAGAACCTTAAAAAAACAATACTGTTAATATCCTCTTGGGTTTATGTATAAACAAAACCAAAAAATAATTCCCAAGGGCGATATAGGCTCCTGATAGATTTGCAGGTAGCTCAGGGTCACCTCTGCTTCTGGCAGCCGCTCGAAGACGTGCTGCATGACCCTCGGAACGAGGCCCCGTTGCTGCGAGGATTTCAGGCCTTCCTTAGTTGTCCAGTCTTTTTGGGGGGGAACTAAAGGTTAGCCTTTGGGACTATAAGGGGATTATATTACCCCACAAAGGTTAAAGGTTACCTACTCTACTACAAGGCTTCTGTGGTGGGACTTCGGTGACCTTCGAAGGCAGACTCCATCAAAGCAGGCCCAAGCATTGTGTGGGTCTTGCCACTGCCCGTCATGCCATAGGTAAAGAGCGTCACGTTGTAGCCTTCAAAGGCCTTCTCCACCTTGGCAGCCCAATAACCATATTATAACAAGGGCACACCTTTTTTGGTTGGTTACTTTATAAGGGAACCCAGAACAAACAAAACAGGGGAAAGGGGACCACTGGGCTATACCAAGCCACAGTAGGCTGCACGGAAGCCCACACCTCCTCTTGGTCCGTCTGCATGCCGAGCACTTTGTCATACTGGCACTCCACCGTCCGGGTGCGTTGTGGCTGCCGGTTCTTACCTAAACCCATGGATGGGACAGCTTTAACAAACTAAGTTTCTATTCCTTACTGAGTTTAAGTACCCTTCATAATGTACAATGTTGTTGCCCAACTATGACAAAGATACGGTGAGAAGGCCCCGCGTCAGCAGTTGTAGTGAGCAGCACCTTCCTCCCCTCGGTCCGGGCACAGTGCCCATACGGAGCTTCGGGAGCTAAGGGTGGCCTGGTTCGGACAATGACCGACACGAAGGATCCGTCGGTCCGTGCGGGCTTCATCGATTTCTTGGTAGGGGCTTCATTCGGACAGAGCCATCCTAGGAGACATTCTGCGTCACTCGACACTGCATAGCAGGCAGCTGCTATGCTTGGGCCGAACGTGCACATGAAGTCAGGCTGCCACCTCTTCTGAAAGAAGCGCGTGCGAGTGGACACTCCTACAAGCCGGGCATCAGCTAGAAGGTCGCTCACGATAGCTTGGAGGCTGGCTTTCTCTGAAACGATGGCTCGAGTGTGGGCTGACACAGGCATAAACGGTCTGTGGCGCCCGAAGAGCAGCCGGTCGGGTTAGATCTCGGCATCCCCACCAAGGGCGCCCATAATACGATGCCTCAACCCGTAAGCATTGTCACAAACTCGTCAAATTGAAAAGGCGTGTCGGACGACAACTTGAAGAATCGGTTGGGCGCCGGTTTCCCAAAACCCTGAACGGTAAGACGAACTATCGCACTCTGCGCGGCCTGGGAATCGCATGACTCGCCAGCCTCGGCCCAAAGAGGATCGATAATCTTCTGCTTCCAGTTTGCGGGGGTAGGGTTTAGGGTTTAAGGTTAGGGTTTGGGTTTTAGGGCTTATAGGGCTTCCAGGGCTTATAGGGCTTAGGGTTTGGAAGCTACTTCGGTGACAGATGGCCTGATTAACCCCACGGGCTTGTCGTCTTTGGAAGGAATGAGGCCCCAGCCCACTCATCTAGAGAACCTCCGTGCTTTGTCTCCACCTGCCACTCACTGGCACGAATGCACGGATCTGGCAAGGTAGGTTGTTTAGGGTTTAGGGTTTAGGGTTTAGGGTTTAGGGTTTAGGGTTTAGGCGATAGCTTCCTTAAAAATGGGACGGAGTCCTGAGAAAAGCAAAAGCCAAAAACTTTCACAAACGAAAACACGGCCCAAGCGAACGCAGATGAAGCAGTAAACATACAGAAGGAAACACGTACCACATAGGAACACAAGCAGAAGCACAGAAGAATCGAAAACCAAAAGAACAAACGACCACGAACAGAAAAAACAGAAGGAACAGAGGGATGGAGAGAAAGACACACGGACAGACAGAACAGAATGCTTAAACCTTAAACAAGGAAAGGACAGAGACAAAGACAGCGAGAGAAGGACCAATCATCGTTGTTCACCGTAAGATACGGCTTACGCTACGACTACTATCACGGCTATATGGCTACGGGTACGGCTACAAAACCGAAACCCCAAACCCCGCACAAAAAACCCTGATTAGTCGCACGAATGCTAGACAACCTAAACCCTAAACCCTAAACCCCAAACCCGGGCCTGCTGCATCAGATGCTTGATGGCTTCTTGGAGATACTGGTTCTCTTGGTCCATGTTGTGTAGACCGAGCCTTGAGATTGATTTCAGACCTACCAGCATAACGCCTACTGGTTTAGGGTTTAGTGTTTAGGGCACTTGGATAACGCCTACTGGCTTACGAATGTAAGGGCCTCAACAAGATTTCTTGACCGTTTCCATGGCCCGTGGGCTCAGAGGAAGCCGAGATCCGTGCGTAAGGAGCTCCACCTCATTCTCCGACTTGGCCTTCTGCCTTGAGGACCAGGTGATTCAGAAGGTTGGAAAGGGAGGCTGCTGAGTCGAGGTTCTGTCAGGGTTTAGGGTTAGGGGTTTGGGGTTTAGCGTTTAGGACCCTGCGGGGCAGCTGAGTGATAGAGCTCAGCTCTGGGAAACTGCTGAGTTGAGTGCTCTTCAAGCTTTGCAAGGGTCTCCTGCTGAAGCTTCAGATGATCCTCCTGACGCGAATCGGCACACGAAGTTGACTGCGAATTGGGGTCTTGCAAGCGTCTTAACTGGGATGGTAAGATGCCTAGGACAAGTCTCCAATGTATATTATATGTTTTTCTATATAAGTAAATAAACAATATATATATATATATATATTGATTTATTTATAGTTATTTATTTATGGCATACTGAATAATGCATAGAATGCTCGCTATCCGTATAGAAGTATATTCCCAGTTGTTTCAACCTTTTTCCAAGTGATGAGGTCGTGCTCTCTTGGAACATGTGATGCTCGGTCCCTGAAGAAGGGACTGGCAGCGGCATGGGAACAGGGTTTCGAGGGTTTCTAGGGTTTAAGGTTTAAAGCTTCGGGCTGAGGGCGCAATTGCAAATGCAACAAGCGGCCCTACAGAGAGAAGTTACGGGCAAGTCCTGGTACAACAGCTTGTCTTGAGTGGCCGCTGTCCGCTCCTGTCAACACCCGACTCTGCTTTAAGACGTTAAGTATTGAAGTGGGTTAGGCATCTCGCTAGCTTGAAATCAAGAGCACCGCTTGAGTTTCCCCCTTCTCCTAAAAACCCTAAACCCTGAACCCTAAACCCACAGAATAAAAATCAGCAGGCTCATATGGCCCGGGATGCTACGGGCGCGCTGCTACAAGTTGTCGCCGAAGGATGGCCGGAACCTGTGTTTTCTAATCTATTTCTTCGGCGGACATGGAACCCTAAACCCTAAACCCTAAACCCTTTTTGCAGCAGGCTTTGGAAGGTTGCGCCCGGACATGTTCAGGCCATACGGTTTTCACACAGCAGGAGGTTCCAAGGCCTCCAGTTTCTGAACCCATTTACCACTGATCTCACTGCAAAGGAGAATAAACCCTAAACCCTAAACTTCTTCTTCTGTGACCACAGGTTCTTCAAAAACAGTCTGAGACGGCCTTCAGCTTTGCCACGTCATTGCGGAGGTCCTTGCCAGATCAGTTGTGCGGCCGCATCAGGGTTTGGGGTTTGGGGTTTAGGGCTTAGGGGACATGGTGCTGAGACATGGAAACATAAAGGGCGATTTTTTTGAGGGTTTACAAAAGCAGGGAACCCAAAATGTAGATCCCCAAATCGTAGGATTCCCTGATAATGAGAACCCTAATAAGGTAGCCCTAATTTCGGACCATTTGTACTCCAGAGGCAATCTGCAAGATCAACGTGCTGCAGCTTGCCCATGCAGTATCCATGCTCAGGAGCCTCAGCTACTTCCACCATCCGGTGATTCTGCAATGATTGAGGGAAACCACTACCCCTTGATCAAAGAGTATTTCCCTTATCCATTAAGGAGCCCTAGACCCTAAACCCTAAACCCTATACCGTATATCTTTAGCTTTGGGATCCTCGTCCCCGTCCCCCGGACCCTACGGTACATTTTTCGGGGCTCTCCGGAAGCCACGCACCCGAGTGCCTCCTCCTGTCGTCGAGATTTCCGCGCCAACTCCTGGGCCTTGGTTTAGGGTTATTAGGGTTTCGGGTTTACGGTTCGGTGGCCCCGTAACCACATGACAATAAGGCTACACTCCTTTTGGGGCAAAACAAGGAAGAAGGGTACGACTGGGCTGTTTGGGGTTCTAGGCTTTAAGGTGTTTTGCCACCTGCCTAGCAGCCTCGTAACCTGCACTGCAGGGATGCAATGAGTCCATCTTCAGGGTTGTTGGGGTAGGGTTGGGTTTGCCTCTGCTCGTAAAAACGGAGGCTTTTGAAGGATGCAACTTCAACATGTAGCTTGACACGCCAGGAGTCGAGCAAAAGACTTACGCAAAAACAAGAGTTGCGAAAGTAAAGTTCATGCCTCGCAACTGCCTTGGCTTCTCGGCCGTACAACCAGAGGCCTTCCCTGGAACTCCCATGATGGGCCAGGAGAATCCAATTCGATGGGTGGCCGTCTGAGGGAAACACTTTCACGAGCTCCGTGTTGATCTGCTGAAGTGAGGCCTGCGGTGACGAGTCCGGAAATCGATGCACCCTGAACCGCCCTGCCCTGTGGTCGATGATCCTGCTTGCCCCGAGCCACGCATCTTCGCCTCCTCCGAACAAGCCTTGAACCCGTCTGCCACAGCTATATGCAACTCTCTGGCTTCAACCCGCAAGCCCTTTGCCGCCCCAAAAACCCCAAAACCGACGCTCTAAACCGGCACTATGAGGCTGACTTAGGCTACCACCCTCAACCCCAAACCCCAAACCCTAAACCCCCTTGAAGCCCAACGAAACTCATTCAAAAAACGGAGCACAGACACCAAATTGACGCGAATGGGGCCTCCATGTCGGCAAGGCCTCCAGCCTTGGAAACACTTTGGCCCTTTAGGGTTTAGGGTTTAGGGTTTGGGGTTTAAGGTTTAGGGTTTAGGGGGTATGCTTCACGAGACAAACCATGACTTGCTTAAGGGGGTT